TGTATTTGTGATTTTTTTGTGTTTCAGATCACAGAAAACAAGGGTCAGTGTACATCGGATTACAGTTACCACGACGACGTCATCGCCGTAGACATCACAAACACCATAAACGAGAACCCGGGGACCAGAGGGTGCCCAAAGATGACATCACTGATGGTGAGTCCTCTGGATTTGTTTCCTGATGAGGAAAAAACACTTCTTAATTTGAAACAGTTTGGAATTTGCAATTTCTTACAAGTTTGAGAATATTTCTGGTACACAGTTAAACCCTGTTAATCCACACTGTACTGCTCCCAGGCACATTGTCCGGATAAACGAACCTTGATAGGGAGTAATGTGCTTTGTTCACAACAGTAGTTGTTCAGAAAGCAGGATATTTGAATAAGAAAGTTTCACTGTTTTACAGTGGTATTGAAATGTGTGTTGACTTTGTTGAACAGGCTTTGATTTAACAGTAAATGCTATTCCATTTGAGTATTGAAGGACTCTATGAATGAGGGTTGAGTGCAAGGATTCTTCAGATATTGTTTGCATGAAAGGTGTATAGAGTTCATTAATCATTGAATGGGTGTTAGTTTAATGAGACAGGAAATGTATAATTCATCTCTTTATTTTACTGCAACAGTTTTGTCTGACACATGTATGGCTAGGCAGTGCATGGGCATCGATAGGTTCTTACTTTGTGTAGAATATTCACTGTGTTGCATCCAGGATGCTTGAGTGAGGGAATCAGCTCTGCAAAAACTGAAAAAAATCCCAAAATAATTTATGTTCTGGCATAATATGTCAAACAAGTGATAGCCACACCACGCCATGCCATGCCACAGAACACACAACACAACAGAAAACACATTGCACAACAGGACACACACTGCACAACAGGACACACACTGCACAACATGACACACACTGCACAACATGACACACACTGCACAACGGAACACACTGCACAACAGAACACACTGCACAACAGAACACACTGCACAACAGAACACACTGCACAACAGAACACACATTGCACAACAGGACACATTGCACAACAGGACACACTGCACAACATGACACACTGCACAACAGAACACACATTGCACAACAGGTCACATTGCACAACAGGACACATTGCACAACAGGACACACTGCACAACATGACACACTGCACAACAGAACACACTGCACAACAGAACACACATTGCACAACAGGACACATTGCACAACAGGACACACTGCACAACAGGACACACTGCACAACATGACACACTGCACAACAGAACACACATTGCACAACAGGTCACATTGCACAACAGGACACACTGCACAACAGGACACATTGCACAACAGAACACACATTGCACAACAGAACACACTGCACAACAGAACACACACTGCACAACAGAACACACATTGCACAACAGGACACATTGCACAACAGGTCACACATTGCACAACAGGTCACATTGCACAACAGGACACACATTGCACAACAGAACACACTGCACAACAGAACACACACTGCACAACAGAACACACATTGCACAACAGGACACATTGCACAACAGAACACACATTGCACAACAGGTCACATTGCACAACAGGACACACTGCACAACAGGACACATTGCACAACAGAACACACACTGCACAACAGAACACATTGCACAACAGAACACACAGCACAACAGAACACACACTGCACAACAGAACACACACTGCACAACAGAACACACACTGCACAACAGAACACACACTGCACAACAGAACACACATTGCACAACAGGACACATTGCACAACAGAACACACTGCACAACTGAACACACATTGCACAACAGAACACACATTGCACAACAGAACACACACTGCACAACAGAACACACATTGCACAACAGGACACACTGCACAACAGGACACATTGCACAACAGAACACACTGCACAACAGAACACATTGCACAACAGGACACATTGCACAACAGGACACATTGCACAACAGAACACACATTGCACAACAGAACACATTGCACAACAGAACACACAGCACAACAGAACACACACTGCACAACAGAACACACACTGCACAACAGAACACACACTGCACAACAGAACACACACTGCACAACAGAACACACACTGCACAACAGAACACACATTGCACAACAGGACACATTGCACAACAGAACACACATTGCACAACAGAACACATTGCACAACAGAACACACACTGCACAACAGAACACACACTGCACAACAGAACACACACTGCACAACAGAACACACACTGCACAACAGGACACATTACACAACAGAACACTGCACAACAGAACACTGCACAACAGAACATACACTGCACAACAGAACACTGCACAACAGAACACACTGCACAACAGAACATACACTGCACAACAGGACACACTGCACAACATAACACATTGCACAACAAAACACACTGCACAACAGAACACTGCACCACACCACACCACAACACAACACAACACAACACAACACAACACAACACAACACAGATAAAACAACACCATCCCAACATGTGTTTACCTGAGAGCCTCCCCAATGTTAACCACAGCCTGGATGCAACACTGCACTGGTATTTAGGTAGGGCATCACATGTTAGTAAGTGTCCTAGTGTGTCGAGGGGCTAGTCTCATGCATTGTGAGAAATTTATACCACAGTCTTGGACATTTTGATGTTGTAACTTTGGAAACTGTCCACAATATGCAACTAGTTGCCAAGGACTCACATTTTCATTGTTTTTTTTGTGTGTGTAAAATACATAACATTTCTCATGTATATGAGAAAAGTTACAGTTAAAGATAAATAAGATCTGAATAAGTCTGTTCCTTTTTGTAAATTTGTAAGATACCAAGTGACATATATGTAAGACTTCCAGTAGTTTATATAATGTAAGTTACAATTGTGTTGTCAAAATTAATAGATTTACACCTCAGTCGGCCTTTTAGAAGTAAATTCAGAGCTGAAGTGACATTGATTGGAATTTTGCACTGTCGGCAGCCCGCAGCATCGTACTTACTTAATCACAACACAGAATGGAACACTGGTTGGGGGGTTCAAATCATTTATAACACACACTGAACTCCATGGAGAAATGGCTAGGATTGATTTATGTACTTTATGATGTGAATTTCTTTTCATTAGACCAAAACAACCAAACAAATGATTTTATATTCTGAAAAGTGCAGGAAAATGTGTTATTTTCTCAGTTGTAATTTGTTTTTACACTGCATGAGATAGCCTTTGTATTTGGGACAGATAGATAGGTATGTCATGAAATAGAGTCGTGTTATTTTAAGTTTCGAAGTATATGATTTATGCAGGGATCTGTGAACATTCAGCTAATACTGAAGTCTTGTAAAAAGGAATATTATCCTTCAGATGATTCTTTTTGATGTCCAGATGTCAGAAGTTTTATCTATTTTGGGGGTCTTATGTCTGAGAATTTGTGAACCGGCATATCATCTGAATTAATTTGAGCAGATGTTTCTGTTTCAGTCAGCTATTTAGTAATTTAGATCAGGAAAAGGTGTTTTTTATATACTCCTGTTGGAAAAAAAAATCTTCACTTGATTGCCATTAACAAATAACTTTTTTTATGTATATGTGAATGGGAGAATTTTAGATAAAGGAGTTTATCTTGAATATCAAGAGTCAGGTGAGCTTCAGTAATTTCATGTCAAGATATTTTCAAATTTGTAGAATTTATCTGCTTCTTGATCTGTATGTTTCAGTGTAAGGAGTTTCTGCTAAGAGGTGTTATGCATTTAAAAGAAAGAGATAGATTTACATGTCTATTTTTGGGGTTTAATCCGCTGGATGTCAAAGTGTTTAAACCCTCTAGATAATTATTTTTTATTTTCTAAATGATCCGTTCTGTTTACTGAATAATTCCCTTATTTATGACATGACTGTTGATTACAGATGTGTTTAGATTCCGAAAGTTTGGAGTTTGACAGTTTCCTGATAATGATTGTATTATATGATGAAGGGTCTCATATCATATCAGTCCACATTTTTGACGATATAGAATTATATTACAGCCCTATTCCTAATCTGAGTCCCAAACTTCTGTAAATAGTACAGATTTATCCTCCAAACATCAAACCTCCCAAAATACCCAAGAAATCACAGAAGAATCTTTGAGGCATGTTTCTATAAGGGACATGACTATACACTGCTAATTGAGGCACCTTAGAAATGCTGCAAATCTGCACATCCTGGCACAGTAAAGGGACACAACTCCACTTTGCAAATTGAGGTGCCTTAGATAATTTGGCCATCCTGTTCAAACTGGGCCTAGAAAATTGGCTACATGATTTTATCCATCAGTGATGCCTTGACTGCTAGGCTATCCCTACACCTGATCACTATTGATCAGTGGGGGTCCTTGATTCAGTGGATAGTGCGTATGCCTGGTGGTCGAAATCTCTGTCCGTGTCTTACCAAATGACTTGAAAGATGGTACGAGTTGTTACCTTGCCTAGACAGTGGTGCTGGGCATTAAGACTAAGAGGACAAAGCAAGGACTTGTCAGCTCGGAGTTGATATACTGTCGGTTGGTAGTTTGAGACCATGCTGCATCATTCCAAAAGCCGCAACCTAACATGCACATGATTCGAACCGACCCAAAACCTGTGAACCCTGTTTCTAGCAATATTCCAGTCGTGTCATGGCAGGGGACACCAAAAAGGGCTCAACTCGGTACAAAATGTATGGTCATATTGCTGCTGGTGAAAACACTCAAACAATCCCTTTGTATTCTCCACTTTGCAATTATGGAACACCTGAGACCAAAATATTCAAATAGCCTCAACTGTATATCTGTTTTTAAGTAGTAAATGGAACTTTGGCATCCAGGGGGTTAACACTGCTGGTCAGTTATCATTTTACTGAATGAGCTTTACTTTTCTTTCATTTGTGAAAAGAACCTGATGTTGAAAATGACATTACAAAGTCAGGTAATTGATGCACGTAAACGATTCTAGATTTGTCTTCATATGCTGTTGTGACAGTGGCGTTAAATAGCACAGAGCTTGTGTTAGTAGTAGTTAACCCTTTGAGGACTGTAATTCATTGCACAGTGGGCACACAGGGTATTAGGGGTTAATGTAAGTATTGCCGCTTAGCAAGTATTAAAAAAAGTTTTTGATGGTCCTTTATTGCAAAATGAATTTCTCATTTCGAACAAAATATATATGTGACAGTTGTTTTGCCGAAATTGAAAGAAAATGCTTGAAGAAGTTTAAGATGGAAGAGAACTGAGCAATTTTTAGGCTTTGTGTTTTAGTGATGTGATGTTGGAAATATGATGAATTATTAATTGTTTGAAAAGATATATCTGTAACCAAATGATGATAAAATTTGGCTCATTATCAAAGAAATTAATGCAAGTCGGCTTGCCTATCTAGGAACTGAAAGGGTTGTTAGACTATTGGCTGTGTTTGGTCGTTATTGCTGCAATAGAGAGACTTGTCAGTGTTTTAACCCATATATATTTATTTTCTATACCTTGTCCTGAGTGTGCATGGTTTTTTTCTTCAAATTTTCAAATAGTTTAACATCATCAATCAACAGTGTTGTGTTTTCAATACTTCACATTTAATTGTTGTTTGTTGATTTTTTCTCATAAATGTGTGAGTCTGTCATCCATATATAATGTATGGTTCACCTTCAACTTGTTGTCTTCAAGGGGAGTTAACTCTAGCATTGTCTGTCACATTCACCCAACCCTAACACACAATGTAGAACTTTGATTTCTTTGACAACGATTTTGCTTTTTGTGTTCATTCTGTTATGTTCATCAAAACAAGTGATCATTTAGCATTGGTTTGTTTGAGAGAATCTTGAATAGCATCTGGAAACTGAAAACCTGAAAAACTGATAGTTCTTGTATTCCTTCAGGATTTCCTAAATGTTTAACTTGGCCATTATCCAATACTTGTAAAATGAGGATTGGATGATCAAAATGTGTATTCTTTTTGGACTTTTGATGAAAATATTTTGCTGCTCTTTACAGCTTTTTCCACAATCCTGTAATTATGGGTTTGAATCACAGATTCTCCCTTATTTTCTCAAATCTTTCTTCTTGCGCCAATTAGGGCTTTCCTCACACATTAAGCTGATATGCTGGGATTTAACCAAATACTCATTAAAGCAGCTTTGAACTCTTTCACTTACATTTAAGGAGCTCTGATCTTATTGAGTATGTGCAAACCCTGACTGCAGACGAGGTCTCCAAGTCTCAGCATCCGGTTTGCCTGCTCCAACCTTGATAAAGTTCAGCATTATTGCTTATCACAGCTTAAAGTCACTTTCAGCCACTAAATATTTAACACATGCCTATGGTAGTGCTCTCTCAAGGATCCTCTTGGTAACTTACAGCAACAACAGATATGTTTGTGAAGCTGTATGATGAGGGATTTGAGAAAGAAAATGCAGTAACACAACGCTTACATAATGTAACAGCTTAATCACACAGTTGCTTTTTTAATGACTTTGTGGATTTGTTGAAATTGTGGATAAACAATTCTGTAAACATCCGTAATTGATTAGATCATATTTCTAATAAAATGTTTCAATTTATTAAGGCATTGAAAACATTTTCCCAAACGATTATGTTTATTGAAAAAAATATTCAATAATTAATGTTCAATTTTCTGAAATGTCAGATACCATTGCTAACACATATATTGCGTACCATTTTGAAACCCGTGGAGTAGAATTATGTGATTGTGTTCTGCGAATACATGTGTTTCCCTTCATTTTAGGTGCCACCATAACAGTGTGCTGCTGTTGTTTCAACATGCGGTGTCCCGTTATTCAATTTGTTTGTAATATTTTGTTCACAGCTTTGCTGAGAAAAGTTTCATTTGGTATGAGTAGTATCACCCAATGTTGTGTGTTAGTTTGTATTATTTCTTTTCTTTTATGTTGAGTTTTAAACAACATTAATGGGGGATAATGAAGAAAATGCATTTGAATATTTTGATAGGAATTGATCAATAACCCCATTAGCAGAAAGAATCATCTCATTAAGACAGCATCAACACTTCACAGGTTTGTATACACTATGTTCCACCATCATCATCAACCGACCCGTGAAGATCCGGGATAGAATAGGTCTTCAGCAACAAAAGGTGACTTTGCTTGTCGTAAGAGGTGACTAATGGGATCGGGTGGTCAGGCTTGCTGACTTGGTTGATGCATGTCATCGATCCTGTATTCTGTGGATGGATGCTCATGATATGTATGTGTTTACACAGGTGAACTTACTGTATACATACCTGTCAAGTGATTGTGTTCACGGCAGATGGAGGAACACAGTCTATACATACCTGTCAAGTGATTGTTTTCAGCGCAGATGGAGGAACGTAGTCTATACATACCTGTCAGGTGATTGTGTTCAGCGCAGATGGAGGAACGTAGTCTATACATACCTGTCAGGTGATTGTGTTCACGGCAGATGGAGGAACACAGTCTATACATACCTGTCAAGTGATTGTGTTCACGGCAGATGGAGGAACACAGTCTATACATACCTGTCAAGTGATTGTGTTCACGGCAGATGGAGGAACACAGTCTATACATACCTGTCAAGTGATTGTGTTCACGGCAGATGGAGGAACACAGTCTATACATACCTGTCAAGTGATTGTGTTCACGGCAGATGGAGGAACGTAGTCTATACATACCTGTCAAGTGATTGTGTTCACGGCAGATGGAGGAACGTAGTCTATACATACCTGTCAAGTGATTGTGTTCACGGCAGATGGAGGAACACAGTCTATACATACCTGTCAGGTGATTGTGTTCACGGCAGATGGAGGAACGCAGTCTATACATACCTGTCAAGTGATTGTGTTCACGGCAGATGGAGGAACGTAGTCTATACATACCTGTCAAGTGATTGTGTTCACGGCAGATGGAGGAACGTAGTCTATACATACCTGTCAAGTGATTGTGTTCACGGCAGATGGAGGAACGTAGTCTATACATACCTGTCAGGTGATTGTGTTCACGGCAGATGGAGGAACGCAGTCTATACATACCTGTCAGGTGATTGTGTTCACGGCAGATAGGGGAACGTAGTGTATACATACCTGTCAGGTGATTGTGTTCACGGCAGATGGAGGAACACAGTCTATACATACCTGTCAAGGGATTGTGTTCACGGCAGATGGAGGAACGCAGTCTATACACACCTGTCAAGTGATTGTGTTCACGGCAGATGGAGGAACACAGTCTATACATACCTGTCAGGTGATTGTGTTCACGGCAGATGGAGGAACGCAGTCTATACATACCTGTCAGGTGATTGTGTTCACGGCAGATGGAGGAACGTAGTGTATACATACCTGTCAAGGGATTGTGTTCACGGCAGATGGAGGAACGTAGTCTATACATACCTGTCAAGTGATTGTGTTCACGGCAGATGGAGGAACGCAGTCTATACATACCTGTCAAGTGATTGTGTTCACGGCAGATGGAGGAACACAGTCTATACATACCTGTCAAGTGATTGTGTTCACGGCAGATGGAGGAACACAGTCTATACATACCTGTCAGGTGATTGTGTTCACGGCAGATGGAGGAACGTAGTCTATACATACCTGTCAGGTGATTGTGTTCACGGCAGATGGAGGAACGCAGTCTATACATACCTGTCAGGTGATTGTGTTCACGGCAGATGGAGGAACACAGTCTATACATACCTGTCAAGTGATTGTGTTCACGGCAGATGGAGGAACGCAGTCTATACATACCTGTCAGGTGATTTTGTTCACGGCAGATGGAGGAACACAGTCTATACATACCTGTCAGGTGATTGTGTTCACGGCAGATGGAGGAACGCAGTCTATACATACCTGTCAGGTGATTGTGTTCACGGCAGATGGAGGAACACAGTCTATACATACCTGTCAGGTGATTGTGTTCACGGCAGATGGAGGAACGTAGTCTATACATACCTGTCAGGTGATTGTGTTCACGGCAGATGGAGGAACGTAGTGTATACATACCTGTCAGGTGATTGTGTTCACGGCAGATGGAGGAACGTAGTCTATACATACCTGTCAAGGGATTGTGTTCACGGCAGATGGAGGAACGTAGTCTATACATACCTGTCAGGTGATTGTGTTCACGGCAGATGGAGGAACGTAGTCTATACATACCTGTCAAGTGATTGTGTTCACGGCAGATGGAGGAACGTAGTCTATACATACCTGTCAGGTGATTGTGTTCACGGCAGATGGAGGAACGTAGTCTATACATACCTGTCAAGTGATTGTGTTCACGGCAGATGGAGGAACGTAGTCTATACATACCTGTCAAGTGATTGTGTTCACGGCAGATGGAGGAACGTAGTCTATACATACCTGTCAAGGGATTGTGTTCACTGCAGATGGAGGAACGTAGTCTATACATACCTGTCAGGTGATTGTGTTCACGGCAGATGGAGGAACACAGTCTATACATACCTGTCAAGTGATTGTGTTCACGGCAGATGGAGGAATGTAGTCTATACATACCTGTCAGGTGATTGTGTTCACGGCAGATAGGGGTAGCTGTGAAGTAATGACAATATTAACTCAGATTTGTGTCTTGATTTAAAACTAGAAAATTCCATTTTAAAATTTCAGATGCATTTTCTTGTTATGAAAGGAGTGTCGTGGCTGTATTAACAAATCATGAAGTATATGTTGTGAAAGTTCAGGCTGTCATTTCTATTTCTATTGCTAAGATATTTTGTCAATAGATTTATTTTAGAAGAAGTACTTTTATGGTGTCAGTTTCAGCCTGTATTTTCACATTGTAATATTCATATTGTGGGCTAACATAATCACTTTTGTTAATGGACAGCAAGATGCAGTCAAGATTGTATGTCCATTTAAAATGGGTTTTGGAAATTCAATATATGAACGTAATGACTTGAAAAAGCTGAAATGAATGCTTATTCTGGTATTCATGGCATCTGAAGGAACAGCTCAGAATCAAGGAGTAGTATTCATCTCAGCTGTTTCATTTAAGTACATTTCTTTTGGAAAGTAATTGTTTTACACAATATGTTAATTTAAGAATGTTGCTGTGTGATCAGTTTGACCATTAACAAACCTTTGATATCTATAAACAGGGAAGGCTATACTGTGCGACCAGTGGTTGTCATGGATAACAGATAAATGTCTTGTGAAGTGTAATAACAGATTTTCTGGTGGTGGAAAAACATTCTTGATATACTTTCAGCAATCTATTCTCTATGCTGTTAGATGTCCTAATTGACACATTTGTTGTGACTTTAATATCATGTTGAACTTCGCTGTCTGATAATCGGTGATGTATTTCCCATTTTGTGAAAACTATGGCTCCAGTTATGGCACTTGGTCTATCTGCACCAGGTCAGATTATTCAGACTATCTTATTCTAGCTGGAATATGACTGACTATGGCAGTCTGTGACCTACGCGGGGCGGTCGGGTAGCCTAGTGGTTAAAGCGTTCGCTCGCCACGCCGAAGACCCGGGTTCGATTCCCGACATGGGTACAATGTGTGAAGCCCATTTCTGGTGTCCCCCGCCGTGATATTGCTGGAATATTGCTCAAAGCGGCGTAAAACCATACTCACTCACTCACTCACTCACTGTGAATAACGCCACTTGTCTGCAAACTGAGCCTTGTAAAATTTCTTATTTTTGCTCATGATAGCCCACTTGGTAGGTGTATAAGTTGGGTCTCAAAACTTCTCATCACAGACTGCTATCTCTATCTAAACCTTTGTTATTTCATCGGAATTAATAATAAAATAAACGATTTGATGAAATGTATGACATCATTGGTCCCATGTCTTGAACTATCTCCTTATTTATCCTTTTAAACACTGAAATTTTGTGTGGTTCTGACGTGTTTCCAACCAGTCTGTGCGACACCCAATTAATATTTGTTTCCCAACTTTGCCTGTATCAGACGAGAGTTCAAAAGTGACTTAAACAAACTTCCATTAATATGTCAGTTCCTTGAACTGTGGCTAAGTTTGACTTTGGATACCTGTTGTCCTTGACCTTGGATCAGCTGCTGTCCTTGACCTTTGTTCATCATGTCCCAGTGATACCAGCACGTCCCAGTTCACTGTTGTACTGTGACAGAATGTTGTGGAATATATGGCCCCCTGATAAATGAGACTTGGACTTTATAGTATTACAACCTCATTGTTGTGAATGGTTGAACCAGGAAAGAGACTACTATATACTGTTCAATGTTTACTTTCTATGTAAGTGTAACGGCTAACCTTTTCTTGAGTCTGTAACTTTACAACAACCAATCTGCCTCTTTCAGTTGATTTAATATTTTGAATGACTTCTTCATTGTAGCTATGACCTATGGGTGTTTGTGTTAACGATATATCCATTTGTCTTGTGAAACGTCCAATGTTTCAAAGGTTTTAATGGATAGTCTTGATGGAAAGGTGTTCTATCTCTTTCCTGGACTCTTGATCTGTATTATACTGGGTTCAATATGGTATTTAAGAATGATTGCAAAACATACACAGCTAACTGCCATTGACATAAAAGTAACGTTTGAGGAGCACTCTGTATGACAGTTCCTACTAACTTCATCCTGTACAACAGCTTTTAGTCTCTGTCCATCAGATTTCTATGGAAGCCTCACATGTTCATTGTGACTAATGTTTCCACTGTGCCCCTGACAGCCACACCCCCCGCCCAGCGAGTCCAGTACATCCTCGGGGAGGAGGAAGAGGATGAAGAACATCGTGCCCATGATCTCTTCTGCGAGATGGCCGAACTATTTTTCCATGGCGATGAGATGGAGTGGAAGGAAACTGCCAGGTTTGTACGATGGTGACCTATGTGGCAATTGTGGCGTGTACAGGACTTTACAAGCTGAGTGGGTTTGTGCTCCACAAGATCATTTGTTATTGTTTTTGTTGTCTTTGTTGATTAAGATGGGGATTACAGTGGCTGAAAGTGTAGTAGTACACAATGACTGCTGTGGGCAACCACACTGACCTGCACTGGTGCTCACACTATCATCCCCTGGGTTGGCTACTCTTCTGACAAGGGGTTGTAGCACTAGTCTTTGTAAACATAAGTTACCACAGTCATAACTCTATGATTTCCATGTGAAAGGGGCCGAGGCACGATTTAGCTTGGCATGCACCCCCAGTGATGTAGTTGTAATACAACATTTTATCCATCAACCCATTAAACCTGTGTTAGAATTTTTTAAAATTTATTAGAGGAAATATTGATGGCAGCACTTTGCTGTTCAAATAGTAATAGCATTAGGTCTTGTTGCACCCACAAATTTGATTTGGGTAAAAGAGTGTTATTCTGATTGTGAGTCTTCGTCCGGCAAATTTTATTCCAAGGGCACGTGTCAGACAATCTTGCTCACTTGGAGGAAAAGTATTGGACATTCTATCAATACAAATTCCATCAATTCAAATTTTATATTGATTTAGAAAAGTGCAGCTCAGAAAAGATCTGCATCTTTTAAATAAATTTGTAATTCATTTGAGATAAAGATTTATATCAATGTGGAAGGTGTAGGTTAAGTGTGTGTGTCAGTGTTGACTGGTTGTGTTCAGGTGGCTGCTGATGTGGGGATGTTGACACACACTGAATTCAGTTTGTGATGGAACCTGTCTATTTGTGATTTTCATTAGAGGAAATTGATCCTGGATTCATGATATCAAGCAAATTGTATTACTTTAGAAAGTCAATATTTGCTACAGATAATTTTACATTTTCATTCTAAATTCTAAATGAGAACAATTATAACTTTTTGAACAGTTTTCAAAATTTGGGGTGGTGGTGGGGCGTCTGTGAGGTTTGATTCTATAGTGCTTGAGTCTTAGGGACCCCCCTCAATCCCTTTCATTAACTTTAGGGTTATGACAAGGACCTTTGACTTTCATGTTTAATTTCCAACAATGCTTATGATTGATTTCTTAAAGTTTGGAGAATATTGGGTTTAAACGTAGATGTATCTTTCTCCAGTTTTGTTACAAATGCAGCAATGTAGCTGTAATGTTACTGACATTATTAATAAACTCCTTTTGTCCAATGGGTACTGAGGTCATCTTTCAAAAGTTACAAAATGATATCAAGCAGCCAGAGTGACACATGCTTTTGTTGCTGATTGATGTAGACACGACTGGCAAGGGTGACCAGGCGCAATCTGTCATCGAAAAAAACTACTTTGTATCCGATCAAGGAATTCAGGTGTTAACAAACCTAAATTGGTCAAAAAAGAAGAAGTGAAATTTTAGATAAAATATCAGTAGACGTGATGATTTACCTTTTAGATTGTATTTCCTGTTCTGCTAGACATTGTTTTATATGCAGAAATGAATATTACTGTGTGTATTTTCTCCTAAACTAAGCCGGAAGTGATCGGAAGAAATTTATTTGAAAATATTTTTTATCAGACATAATATTTTCCAATATTGTGTTATTTTAGTTGCAGCTTTTACCATATACATTTGAAATAGTAATAACCATAAGAGTAGCACTTTGGAACAGCTGATTGCTGTTGCCAGATATTTCTTTACGTGTGAGACAATTTGACCCGTCACCATTAAGACTTCCTGCAGACTTGCAATAATGTTACTGGTACTTGGCATATATAATAGACAACAACAACAAATATGACTTTTAATGAGTCAAAGTGTGGCATGTATGATATATGTATCCATTCTCTGTTAACTCAAGTTCATTTCAAGGCTTCAATAGCGATAATTTGACCTTGATGCTGTAAATAATGGTGAGTTGTGCAATCTACTGATTACTTCACTCACGATTTCTCCGAAATTAATGTCAACTATATGGAATGAAATTTGGAAAAAATTTAATAAAATGGATTACAAATATAAGTCTGTATATACAATGAACACTTTTTATAACCAGATAGTATAATAATAGGATTAAATTGCGTAATTTGTTGGCATGGTATTTCCCGTGTGACATTATCACGATAGGGGAATAAACATCAAAACTGATTGTGGGGTGTTTTATGGAAAAAGGAAGTGTGTACTATCTTCAAGAAAATATGGTATACGTTACGAAAGTGAAACTTTATTTTATTATTTTATTCATACATGAACATCTACCAGCAACTGTCCGATTGCTGGAAATACAATTGTCTGATTGGCTAAAAAAATTCAAGATCCCTGGTATATATTGTTTGAAGCTATGTTAAATAAAGCTCTCTCACTCTCATACAACTCTCTGATTTTGCATCCTCTCTTGTAACTACAACTGTTTTGCTGAACTGAGCATAATTTCCGCAAGGCCATTTTTTTTGGCGTAGATTCTGCAGCAGCCATATTGGAAATGACCTTTCGGCCAAGTGTCCAACCATTTATTGATCTATTAAGTTTATTGTGGATTCAATATACAGTTAAAAGTAAATAAATGTTGTATTTTTCGCCATGTTATGATCTTGGATCTTCACATGCAACAAATAAATCTACTACACTTTAGAAATCGTCTAATCAGTTTGTATGATTTCAGCAGAGGTTTCTTTAAAAAAGCTCAAATCTTTCCTGGATTTCAAAAAGTTATACTTTTATGTCTGAACAAAAATATAATGATTTTATGCATGAAGTCAAGTCAGTACTGGATAAAGTGGGAATAGATGCAAAGCAACTGTCAGTACATGTTGACCTTTTTTTGTGCAGATGGGTGAAGTTTGAGGAGGATGTTGAGGAGGGAGGAGAGAGATGGTCTAAGCCTCACGTGGCCACGCTGTCTCTACACTCGCTGTTCGAACTGCGATGCTGTATTATGACAGGCACAATCATACTGGATATGGATGCTGTCAACATCGACCAGGTCACAGGTAGGCTCAGTCTCACGGCAACGGAAGTCGAAAGGTGGTCTCCGGCGCTTCCACTTCTGTAGTCAGGATCAGGGGTAATGGGTTTAAATCAAAGTGAATACTGCAATCTGATTGGTTGAAAAATGTTGTTAATTGGATGCGAGGCCTGGATATTCTTTAATGAAATACTAGCTGCAGACAACTTTAGACAATCACTGAACCAGGAGAACCATTCTTTAAAATTATGAAAAGTAGTAGTAACCAGAGTTCCAGATACTCTACCCAAGGATAAGTATGGTATGGATGGATCTTTAGGGGAATTGTACCCTTTTTTAGACATTCTATTTATTTTAAATCCCAGAGATTTGTACACATTAGGGTTCCATGGGGTAGTATTGGGCTGCGTTTAAAATGATTATTGTGTCTTGGACACATTTTTCTCAAAATTGAGGTGGGAGGTCAGACGTTTTTTACTTTTTTTTATACAAATAAAAAATGATGAGGAAGGGACAAGTTCTGTTTTTTCCCCACCAAGAATACCAACAAACTGGGCACACCGTGAACTCACCTCTTCTCATAGAATGTCAGTTGTCAAGCATGGATACCTTAGTCTGCTTCATATGACGCTGGAAATTTGGAAAATTATTTATTTTTTGCCTATGAAACTCGCAGGATTTGAAGTGATGCGCTGATGCCCTGAAACATAGCGTGTGTTTTTTTTTGCCTTGGCCTATATTTCCAATGTCCCTTGATTAATATTACCTTGTTCACAACTTTTTCCTATTATATGTTACTGTTTGTACTAAAGTATCAGATTCTATGATGAACTAATACTAAAGCCACTTTGGATGTGAGTTACTTCATTGTCTCTGCCATGTTGTCAGTGGAGTGAATGTATAGTAAACTATGGATAAAATGAACTCATAATCATAGTTCCTTATAAGCATTTCGAGTGTTTTATATGATAAATATATAGCAAAAAGACAGGACCAAAATTTCAAGTGTTTTATGTGATAAAATATATAGCAAAAAGACAGGACCCAAATTTCAAGTATTTAATATGATAAAATATATAGCAAAAAGACAGGACCAAAACCAGTTTGTTGTATCTATCGGTTCATTGTAAGTGTGTTCGTTATAAAACATAGATTACTGTATGTCATCTCACTGATAGTGTTTCATTCCACGGCAGCCTCTTCAGGGATTTCAGGATGGAACAGATGGTCAGTACCCTGGCTGTAAGAACTATCTTAATGGGGATCAGTGGTGTCAAAGTGAGATCCAATGTGCTCATGCTGTCAACCACTGGTTTTGCTGACCCAGACTATTATTTACTATATGGCGGAAATATTGCTTTCTGTGGCGTAACCTTGATTGATTGATTTTTTCCCCCTAATGGGTCAAAGTAGGTCTTCAGCAACCCATGCTTTCCATAAAGGTGACTATGCTTGTTGTAAGAAGCAACTAACAGGATCAGGTGATCAGGCTCACTGACTTGGTTGATGCATGTCATCGTATCCCAAATGTGTGGATAAATGCTCATGATATCAATCACTGGATTATCTGGTCCAGGCTCAATTATTTACAGACCGCCGTCATGTATCTGTCATATTGCTGAGTGCGGCTTTAAACAACCAGCAAACAAACAAATAAATGTTTTCCCTGACATTTCTATGAATGTTTTATTTGACGATGCCTTGTTGTAGATATAATTCTGGACAATATGATTGCATCAAAACAACTAGAGGAAACACTAAAGGACCAGGTACGTGATGTCATCCTTTGCCGACATCATCATCAGAACGAGAAACGTCATCGCCGTGATGACAACTCTAGCAGCAAAATCCACCTGCCAATCATCCGTTCCCTGGCCGACATTGGAAAAAAGTATTCCGAGCCTAAAGGACTTGCTCATCAGGGAGGTGAGCCACTTAATGGAGATCAACGAAACCCAGGTTCGGTGGCTCTTTGTTATCCGGCCCTGCATGTAGTCATTTGCCTTCCGTTCTTGCATGTCTCATGCCTCCATGGTAGTAGATAGAGCGGCTGTCCGGAGAGTCGAAGGTCGGTGGTTCGATCCCCCGCAACAGTATCCCGAAACAGTTAAAAGGTGGTACTTGATAGTTACTAACCTTGACCTTGTTTCAAGGTAGATGAACACTCAAGCATGCAGAATTGTACCATACTCGAGTTGTAGCCTACTTGAACCTCAAGATCATGTTAGTAACTATTTTTGACACTGGCAGAAAAGAATATACCGTATTCGACATAATAAGCGCCCAGGGCTCTCTCAAAATTAGAAATGGGGGCTCTTATTGGTAACTCCGCAGTAAAAAGTGTTTTGTTCTTGTCCGGTTATTCAAACGCGTTTTTGTGCCTAAATATGTTTGTATCCTAAATGTGTTTGAAATACCATATTCGATATAATAAGCGCCCAGGGCGCTCTCAAAATTAGAAATAGGGGGCTCTTATTAGAATATTATTTTGGTGAAAAACAACTGAGTTCAAAGAGCCTAAATTTTGTGGTTTACGCTGAAATGTTTATAAACGACAGATATATTTTTCCAGAACTTAATTGCCCATAATTAAGGGTGCATATAACAAACATATTATGCACGAATAAATAGCCTTGTGTACATTTATCAATCAGAAGGGGTGCTAATTAGGATTGTTCACTAGCCAGTACATTAACAAATATCGCCGTGGGCGCTTATTAGAGTGGGGTGTTTATTCCGTCGAATACGGTACTTTTAGGTTTCATCTGTTTGAACACCTATGCACGTGCAAATAATTACATGGACACATGCAGCTTCTTTTGTGAGACAGGTGATTCATGGATATGAACACCTGTGAGAAATACAAGAGCTAGTGTTTACTCGTTTCCTGCCTGACGCTTGACAAAAAGGAGATTAAACGTAGACTGGTCGGCTAGCACTCTAAAACCAGCTTACACCCAGACTAATACAAGCAACCGCACGTGCATGTTTGTCACTATACAAGTGAAATACTCTTGACCCCTATGATGAATCCAATTTCACCAATGGAGTGTGGAAATTAAGGGCCATGACTATCTTGTGACCATCATGTAACAACTGGGGGCACGGGTGGCTCAGTTGTCTAAGGCACCATAGTTGGCTGTGCAGAGTTGCATCTCTTTGGTAACCTGTGATCATAGGTTCACATCCTAGTTCACCGTGATTGTGTTTCCAGGTTTGTCAGTACCCTACACGTGCTTGTGGGTTTCACCAAAGTAGTAAATGTCTGAGACCTGCATTGGGCTTTCCGCCCACATTCCACTGACACACCATTATATTATATGTTTAAAGTGATGTTACTCCTTCACTCACTCACTCATGTTCAACTATTGTAAGTCTTTTTATTGTGTGGGATGTTTGCCCCACGACCAGTGTTTGAAATACGATAAATTGTCTCGCTGCCATCAGGACCCACAGACGTTAGAGTGAGTGAGTGAGTTGGGTTTAATGCCGCTTTTAACAGTATTCCAGTTACATCACGGTGTGTCAGCTAAATGTGGGAGCACAAAGTGATGCAGGTCTCGGAGGTTTACCACTTCGGTGAAATCCATGAGCACGGTTATGGTGCTGACAAAACTAGAAACATAATCGGGGCGAACCGGGATTCGAACCCACAATCATAGGTTTCTGGCTGTCCAAGGAACGCAACTCTGCACAGCGAATCGCGGCGCCTTAGACGAATGGGTCACCCGTGCCCCCCCCACAGACTTTAGAAGCTGCAGTCTCTGAATAAATTCTTCAGACCCACATTTAAAAAACTGCATCTTATTGTGACAAGGAAATCAATGCAAAAATTTACTGCAGGCCATAAAGACCCATACAAATCTGAAACTGCGGGCCCCACATGAAATCTACAGGACACAGATCACCTCACCTCACCTCACCTCACCTCACCTCACCTCACCTCACCTCACCTCACCTCACCTCACCTCACCTCACCTCACCTCACCTCACCTCACCTCACCTCACCTCACCTTGCATGTCACAGAATTCAGATCTGATTTGGATCTGATTCTACTACAGTAGAAATATAATGTTGATGCAGTGATCAGTTCTTTGTATATCATATAATTTAATATGTTTGGAGTTTTGAAACCTAAAATGTTGAAATATTGCTGACCATACACCATCTTCATGGCACAATGTTTTGATGTTATGTTTACATATCTTTGCTTAGCACTTGTTTCACTTCTGTCAAAATATGAACAACTTTTCCTCGCTAATATTGGTAGTTTTTATTTGTTGTTTGGGTTATTCAGTTGATGTTAAGTATTAATGCTGTAATATAGTACAAACAATAACTTGATCAAGTATAAGTTACAAATTAATAGAAACTTCAGTTTTGTATGATTTGAGTTCTTGTAACTTTATATGTTGCTAATCCATCAAGGGTAAATTCAAAATTTAAAAATAAATAAAATCTGAATTCTAATTGTTGCTTTTAGCTCCCATTGGTTGAAAACGTTTAAAATAAAATACAAAAAGTGCCATCTTTGCTATACCTCCATTCACACATACTAAAGTTGTCGATACTGATACATTGAAGATCAATGATTTGGAATATTGCAATGTCATCACTGTCATGATTAGAGTCCAACAATTAATGCCATTGGTTGTGTTTCCAGTTGATGACCGTATTGGAGCCAAAAGTACACCCAACATGTTACGTGTGGCAAGCAATGCAAGTGGCGGGGAGACAACTGAGGGTGGCAACAATCTCCCGTCCAACAACTCGTTTGTTCACTCCCACCATGCAGACATCCCGGAGAATGCATCTCACAAGGTCAGACATCCCACATAGGTCGTCCTGTTTCGGATACCCTGCATTACTTTCCTTCACTGTCGTAGATTCTGAAAGATGTAGTCATTGATCCACTTAGTGGGGGCTGCTTTTGTCTGGAGGGGAATTGATAGGAGACAATTTTCAGGTTAACTGATGCATCATATTGAGAGGTATTTCTCCCCTTAAATTTGTGAATAAAGAAATTCTGTTTTGGCAGTATTCAGCAGAAAGATTATTCTGTACAATCTGATTTATCAACCACTAATTGTCTGTTTTCTGCTGCATAATCTATCATATTTAATATAGGACATTGTATTTTTTATTTGATTAATGATTTACTACATATGAGACAACAAAATATTGGTCAAAGTCTTTGGAAACTGTTTGAAAAGCAGCTTCCATTTGATTCTGATTGTGTTTCTTCCTTCCAATGTTGCCTGATGTTTTGATAGACCTGCTTCACAAATTCCTTCTGGCATATGACTGAGATGGCTGTTGCCAATTTGCAAAGTTAAACTGCTGAATTTCCTTTATCCATGGGGAAGGATTTGAAAAAGAAGTGATACTTTAATGACAAAATTATACCTTTGTTTTAATTTGTACAAACATTTTGACAGTGAATGATAATAAAAAAAAACCTTGCCAAACTCATTTATGACATACTATTAATAGGTATTCCCTGTGGAAAAGTTTAGATAACTGAAATATTTTAATGACTTCAGTTCGAATATGACCAGTTTTATAGATGGATGCTCATTAGGAGGACTTGCATACAATTTGCATGTCACGTGTTGCTGTGGTTTTAGGTTTGTTAGCAATGAAATAATAAGAATATATGATGTTTATATTTCAGAAAAAAATAAAAAATTTATGGGTTGGTTTTTATTTTTGGTTACTCCCAGTTATATACAGTGTGTGTCATGTAGGAAGTATGTACCATAGACTATGGGTTTATGGTAAATTATGACAGAACTACTCATGAGATAAAGGCCCATTGTTTAACTATTATTGAGTCTTTCGGCTTGGTGCATTACGCAAGAAATGTGTTGCCCTGTACCTTCAATGTTTGCAATTTTTAAGATTAACAGGAAGAACTCAGACATAATGTGTCTGGCACATTCTATCACAGACTTGAATGACATAGACTATCGGACTACCACTAATGCCACACACTGATGAACCTAATATAATTTTCTTATTGGAAGGTGAACAATAAGTAATGTGCCCTATTTCATACATAATACTAACAGTGAATGCCAAAACTTGCACTTTGTTTGTTCCTGCACTGTATCTTACACTGGATTGTACATAGCAGTTCAATCTCTCTACTTTTAAGGGTTGAAGAGTTTTGTTGAGAAAACGTCCGTGAGAGAGTGTTATTATACCTATTGGAAGTTTCATTTCATGATATTTGAATAAATATGAAATTTATCAGATTTGTTGCCCCAAAAGATGTCATTTCAACTGTAGTACTTGGTGATTAAAATGTTGTACGTGGCTTATTGTGTGTCCTTATACACAACTGCATGATGGATCCTTGTTCAAGCTATCAACCACTGGTTTCTTCTCTGGCCAAGACCTAATTATATATAGACCGCTGTGGTGTAGCTGACTTATTGCTGACTGCTGATAAAATAACTTTTACTGTTTTATAACATTGTTATACCACATGTCGAAAGCCCTCAAAATTAACCTTCAAGCACAGGCAACCATTCTTTCAGTGTTATTTGGAATCAAGTCAAACATTGGTTGCCCTTGGTTCACTAGGTGGGCAGTGGGTTAGCCTAGTTGTTGAAGTGTTCACTGTCGACACTGAAGACCTAGGTTTGATCCTCAACTTGGGTACATTGTATTCGGCCTGGGATGGGTAACTTGGGTACCCACAGGACTACCTGGACCCGTGGTCAGTCACGTGATTATATTGTTTAATGGCAAAAATTATTTAGAACTCTAAGGTTACACTATAAGTGAGAAATTTCTTTCTGACTGTACACACATTCCTTCTGACTTTATATGTTTGCTTATTGATATAACTTCAGTCAACTTCAGTGTATGGATGACCAGATCGGAATATAAGTGTATCTAATTTTATTTTGACAACAGTATGGTCAAACATTTCCCAATCAGACATTTTGTACCTCTCTCTTGAGACCTACACCGGGTATCTGGGTAGGGTCGGGTAATAGGGGGTAGGGTACCTGGGTAGTAAATTTGGACTCGTCCCAGCCCTACATTGTATGCAGCTTGCTTGTTCTTGTGTCCCCTGACATGTTCTTGTGGAAATATTGCTAAACCATACTTACTCATTCACTAGGCTGGTAAACGTCTTAGACTTAGGGCACCACATGAAATTGCAAGAATTTTGCCAAAAGCTGTGTAAAAATTATACTCGCTCACTCACGTTAAACCAAATTTACTCACCCATCAGGTTAGTTTCAGATGAACTTACATTGCATCAAGCTGTACAGTATGTGTATCAGTGGTAATAAATGATACAAATGCTGTATATGGGAGCCGGGTATTAACACTTTAGCCTTGACAATGCCTGCATGTACCTGCATGAACCGACAGTTACATTGATTCCTTCACTTTTCAGGCTGGGACAAATTCTGTGGACAAAACACACATGGTAAAGGGTGTTGACATCCTTAAAACTAACCCCTGCAATATCTCACCTCTGTAGCCTCTGTTGAACATGTTCTTGTGAAGAATTATCCCCATCAAATTATCTGTATTAACTATACCTCAGTTCAAGTGTCTTATTTTTTCATTTCTTTTTTTTTCCTGCTTAAATAATAAGTTTTTACTGCCTTCTTCTTGGGTCTGAACTTTTATGATAAACATAGGGGATAAGCTAGCAACCATGGCAATGTTATACCACTGCAGGCCTTGTAGTACTAGGATGGGTGACCACCAGATGGCTTCATCAGTTTGCCATCACCTGGTTGGATATCTCTCTCATCGTATCTCTGATGCATGGCCTACACTCCACTATGTCGTGGCTTGACTGTGGATCATTGCTGACACCATCCACCACCGTGTCCCTGGCCTACTCCACTATGTCGTGGCTTGACTGTGGATCATTGCTGACACTATCCACCACTGTGTCCCTGGCCTACTCCCTATCTGTCGTGGCTTGACTGTGGATCATTGCTGACACTATCCACCACTGTGTCCCTGGCCTACTCCACTATGTCGTGGCTTGACTGTGGATCATTGCTGACATTATCCACCACCGTGTCCCTGGCCTACTCCACTATGTCGTTGCTTGACTGTGGATCATTGCTGACACTATCCACCACTGTGTCCCTGGCCTACTCCCTATCTGTCGTGGCTTGACTGTGGATCATTGCTGACACTATCCACTACCGTGTCCCTGGCCTACACTCCACTATGTCGTTGCTTGACTGTGGATCATTGCTGACACTATCCACCACCGTGTCCCTGACCTACTCCACTATGTCGTTGCTTGACTGTGGATCATTGCTGACACTATCCACCACTGTGTCCCTGGCCTACTCCCTATCTGTCGTGGCTTGACTGTGGATCATTGCTGACACTATCCACTACCGTGTCCCTGGCCTACTCCCTATCTGTCGTGGCTTGACTGTGGATGATTGCTGACACTATCCACTACCGTGTCCCTGGCCTACTCCCTATCTGTCGTGGCTTGACTGTGGATCATTGCTGACACTATCCACCACCGTGTCCCTGGCCTACTCCACTCTGTCGTGGCTTGACTGAGGATCATTGCTGACACTATCCACTTCCGTGTCCCTGGCCTACTCCACTCTGTCGTGGCTTGACTGAGGATCATTGCTGACACTATCCACTACCGTGTCCCTGGCCTACTCCACTATGTCGTGGCTTGACTGTGGATCATTGCTGACAATATCCACTACCGTGTCCCTGGCCTACTCCACTCTGTCGTGGCTTGACTGAGGATCATTGCTGACACTATCCACTACCGTGTCCCTGGCCTACTCCTATCTGTCGTGGCTTGATTGTGGATCATTACTGACACTATCCACCACCGTGTCCCTGGCCTACTCCACTCTGTCGTGGCTTGACTGTGGATCATTGCTGACACTATCCACCACCGTGTCCCTGGCCTACTCCCTATCTGTTGTGGCTTGACTGTGGATCATTGCTGGCACTATCCACCACCGTGTCCCTGGCCTACTCCCTATCTGTTGTGGCTTGACTGTGGATCATTACTGACACTATCCACCACCGTGTCCCTGGCCTACTCCACTCTGTCGTTGCTTGACTGTGGATCATTGCTGGCACTATCCACCACCGTGTCCCTGACCTACTCCACTATGTCGTGGCTTGACTGAGAATCATTGCTGACACTAACCACTACCGTGTCCCTGGCCTACTCCACTCTGTCATGGCTTGACTGTGGATCATTGCTGACACTATCCACCACCGTGTCCCTGGCCTACTCCCTATCTGTCGGGGCTTGACTGAGGATCATTGCTGACACTATCCACTACCGTGTCCCTGGCCTACTCCCTATCTGTCGGGGCTTGACTGAGGATCATTGCTGACACTATCCACTACCGTGTCCTGGCCTACTCCACTATGTAGTGGCTTGACTGTGGATCATTGCTGACACTATCCACCACCGTGTCCCTGGCCTACTCCCTATCTGTTGTGGCTTGACTGTGGATCATTGCTGACACTATCCACCACCGTGTCCCTGGCCTACTCCCTATCTGTTGTGGCTTGACTGTGGATCATTGTTGACACTATCCACCACCGTGTCCCTGGCCTACTCCCTATCTGTTGTGGCTTGACTGTGGATCATTACTGACACTATCCACCACCGTGTCCCTGGCCTACTCCACTCTGTCGTGGCTTGACTGAGGATCATAGCTGACACTATCCACCACCTTGTCCCTGGCCTACTCCCTATCTGTCCTGGCTTGACTGAGGATCATTGCTGACACTATCCACTACCGTGTCCCTGGCCTACTCCTATCTGTCGTGGCTTGACTGAGGATCATTGCTGACACAATCCACTACCGTGTCCCTGGCCTACTCCACTATGTCGTGGCTTGACTGTGGATCATTGTTGACACTATCCACCACCGTGCCCCTGGCCTACTCCACTATGTCGTGGCTTGACTGTGGATCATTGCTGGCACTATCCACTACCGTGTCCCTGACCTACTCCACTATGTAGTTGCTTGACTGTGGATCATTGCTGGCACTATCCACTACCGTGTCCCTGACCTACTCCACTATGTAGTTGCTTGACTGTGGATAATTGCTGACACTATCCACTACCCTGTCCCTGGCCTACTCCCTATCTGTCGTGGCTTGACTGAGGATCATTGCTGGCACTATCCACCAACGTGTCCCTGACCTACTCCACTATGTCGTGGCTTGACTGTGGATCATTGCTGACACTATCCACCACCGTGTCCCTGGCCTACTCCCTATCTGTCGTGGCTTGACTGAGGATCATTGCTGACACTATCCACTACTGTGTCCCTGGCCTACTCCCTATCTGTCGTGGCTTGACTGAGGATCATTGCTGACACTATCCACCACCGTGTCCCTGGCCTACTCCACTATGTCGTGGCTTGACTGTGGATCATTGCTGACACTATCCACTGTCGTGTCCCTGGCCTACTCCCTATCTGTTGTGGCTTGACTGTGGATCATTACTGACACTGTCCACCACCGTGTCCCTGGCCTACTCCCTATCTGTCGTGGCTTGACTGAGGATCATTGCTGACACTATCCACTACCGTGTCCCTGGCCTACTCCACTATGTCGTGGCTTGACTGTGGATCATTGCTGACACTATCCACCACCGTGTCCCTGGCCTACTCCCTATCTGTTGTGGCTTGACTGTGGATCATTGTTGACACTATCCACCACCGTGTCCCTGGCCTACTCCCTATCTGTTGTGGCTTGACTGTGGATCATTACTGACACTATCCACCACCGTGTCCCTGGCCTACTCCACTCTGTCGTGGCTTGACTGAGGATCATAGCTGACACTATCCACCACCTTGTCCCTGGCCTACTCCCTATCTGTCCTGGCTTGACTGAGGATCATTGCTGACACTATCCACTACCGTGTCCCTGGCCTACTCCTATCTGTCGTGGCTTGACTGAGGATCATTGCTGACACAATCCACTACCGTGTCCCTGGCCTACTCCACTATGTCGTGGCTTGACTGTGGATCATTGTTGACACTATCCACCACCGTGCCCCTGGCCTACTCCACTATGTCGTGGCTTGACTGTGGATCATTGCTGGCACTATCCACTACCGTGTCCCTGACCTACTCCACTATGTAGTTGCTTGACTGTGGATCATTGCTGGCACTATCCACTACCGTGTCCCTGACCTACTCCACTATGTAGTTGCTTGACTGTGGATAATTGCTGACACTATCCACTACCCTGTCCCTGGCCTACTCCCTATCTGTCGTGGCTTGACTGAGGATCATTGCTGGCACTATCCACCAACGTGTCCCTGACCTACTCCACTATGTCGTGGCTTGACTGTGGATCATTGCTGACACTATCCACCACCGTGTCCCTGGCCTACTCCCTATCTGTCGTGGCTTGACTGAGGATCATTGCTGACACTATCCACTACTGTGTCCCTGGCCTACTCCCTATCTGTCGTGGCTTGACTGAGGATCATTGCTGACACTATCCACCACCGTGTCCCTGGCCTACTCCACTATGTCGTGGCTTGACTGTGGATCATTGCTGACACTATCCACTGTCGTGTCCCTGGCCTACTCCCTATCTGTTGTGGCTTGACTGTGGATCATTACTGACACTGTCCACCACCGTGTCCCTGGCCTACTCCCTATCTGTCGTGGCTTGACTGAGGATCATTGCTGACACTATCCACTACCGTGTCCCTGGCCTACTCCACTATGTCGTGGCTTGACTGTGGATCATTGCTGACACTATCCACCACCGTGTCCCTGGCCTACTCCCTATCTGTTGTGGCTTGACTGTGGATCATTACTGACACTATCCACCACCGTGTCCCTGGCCTACTCCCTATCTGTCATGGCTTGACTGTGGATCATTGCTGACACTATCCACCACCGTGTCCCTGGCCTACTCCCTATCTGTCGTGGCTTGACTGAGGATCATTGCTGACACTATCCACTACCGTGTCCCTGGCCTACTCCCTATCTGTCATGGCTTGACTGAGGATCATTGCTGACACTATCCACCACCGTGTCCCTGGCCTACTCCCTATCTGTCGTGGCTTGACTGAGGATCATTGCTGACACTATCCACTGTCGTGTCCCTGGCCTACTCCCTATCTGTTGTGGCTTGACTGTGGATCATTGCTGACACTATCCACTACCGTGTCCCTGGCCTACTCCACTATGTCGTGGCTTGACTGTGGATCATTGCTGACACTATCCACTACCGTGTCCCTGGCCTACTCCACTCTGTCGTGGCTTGACTGAGGATCATTGCTGACACTATCCACCACCGTGTCCCTGGTCTACGGTGGAGGCGTTCAGCCTGAAATTCATTGTGCCATCATCTTCAGTAGATTTCATCTTTGCAGATCTAGACCTAAAGAAATGTTATTCAGCCTGAAATTCATAGTGTCGTCATCATCAGTAGATTCATCTTTGCAGATCTAGACCAGAGATAAGAGGCTAGTGACTATTGTAGTTTTACTGAGTCGTTAATATAGTTAGGTCGGGCACAAAGGCTCATTTGTAGTGTCATAGGTTCTGAGCTTCAATTTATTAGTCTTTTAATTGTATTCTGAATATTACTTTTCCACTTAATGAAACTGAGGTTACAGATGGTTTATTTGCATGGTAAAGCTGTTGATTAGACGTGGTGTGGCGTGTATGCATTAAACCCTTGACAATTCACCCTTGTATCATCTACCCCCAAACATACCACTGTCATGATATGTTGGCAAACATTTTCTTTTTCTTAATAAGAACTATTTATACTCTAATCTATGTATATTTCTATTTTCTAAATATTGAACTATGTCATATTATTTATGTATTGATGTATTCAAAGTTACTTACTGGAGTGAAAACTGTTGTACATAATGATCATCTTGGCATGCCATTCACCCAGAAAACATATATATGTAATCCATAGCATTTTATTGTTGTCAGATAAAACAAATCTTGCATTTGTATGTAAATGTGCACTCTCTTGGAAATGGTGAACTTTTAAAAATGTATTTCATTTCATGGTGTTTAACAACTTCTGGAAATTTCGGTGGTCTTGCTTATTTGCATGCGGGAACATATCCCTTGTAATAGAATTTGAATTCAAAATAATTTTTCGACGTAAATAATCAAGAATGTTTACTTAAAGTAAAGTATGTAACAGTGATGAACTATTTTGAAAGCTTCAAGGGATGGCAAGCTGTGATGTTGCTAAAAGTGAAGTAACATTCACTCACTCCCTAATTCATGAGATGGGTTTTCATTATGAGACTGCCATGAATCATTGCCTTAATGCCTGTCTTCAGTTAAGCTTGTGACTACGGTGCTAGTAGACAGTGAATGCCTGGTTTAAGATAGCACTGTGGGTGTCTCTTCAATTCACAAGGATCAACCAAACACCCAGAAAATCCTTACTTTATGGAAGGTCCTGCTGATTTAATTTGGTAAACTGGAAGCTTTGGGAATATTTTAGAAGATATGAAGTGCCTAATTTGAATAAACATGGATAGGTTGCATACCTTATCCAAACACTTAAAGAGATAGGTATTTTGTCAATGATTTATGGATCAGGTTTCATGTCATGTGTGCAAGCTATTATTCTAATGTAATTTTTTGCAGTTTCCTGCATTTACCATTGTAAGCAATATATATGTGTTACAACTTTTTTGCCATTGTTTCTCAGCTTGATGTAATTGTGTATTCTAGCAGGATTTTTACCAATTAGTATGCCTGGAAAATGCCAGGAATATTGCCTTGCCCATGTGAGAAATATTGCCTTTCAAATGCCTGGAATGTTGTTTAATATGTGCCAGCCACTTTGTAGCAAACACACAACTTGGAACTTTTCACAGAAAATGCGAAAATGATGTAGATCATTATTTCTTTTGGACAGAGCTGATTTGGATGTTTGATCTTTCTTTTGATGCAATGAGACTATATTCTACTCTGCAACCTCTCTCACTGGTTTAAGAGTGTGTAGGACACGAACACTTTTACAAACGTTTTATTCAAACATTTACAATTTCATTGTTGCAATTAAAAAGGAATGTCAGGGATATATAAATATGGTTCTTTTAGCAAATTTAGTTAAATACATTATGTTACAATAGTCACAGGACCCCATTTGTCTTCCAAATATTTAATAAGTTCCAAATTTCCCCAGAATCTGCACTTCATGAAGAAGATCCCCCCTGGGGCTGAGGCCTCCAACATCCTTGTAGGGGAGGTGGACTTCCTCAATCACCAGATTGTCGGCTTCGTCCGCCTCTCAAAGGCAGTCCTACTGGGAGACCTCACTGAGGTGCCAGTGCCCACGAGATTCCTGTTTGTGCTTCTTGGGCCAACCGGAAACCAGAACAAGTTTCACGAGCTTGGGCGGTCTATTGCAACTCTTATGTCTGATGAGGTGGGTATCAGTACGTTAAAGTCACGTTCAAACTGGTACTGAATTATTCTTCATTGGATTATTATTGTCAGGGATTGTTTTGTGTTCCAAGCTTAGTGTCCTCCATCATTGGCAGATTTGGAAAAAAAAATAAAAAATTGTTCAAAACCTTTTTTTTGAAGTTCTTGCTTTCTTAAAATTCAAATGTGTTTTAACATTGTGATGTATTTTAACATTGCATTCATTGCTAAAAAAGGAATTAAAGCCTCTTCCTCATTATTCATCATGTTATCAGTGAAAAATAAAGTTACCTCTTGACATTTAGTTATAACAATATTAACCTGAATTGGGAAATTATTCATTCCAATTGGGCAATTTTATTCACATTTACTGCAGACTTGCGGGAAAAACATCACTCTTGAGCAGGTCTAGATAAATTCCTGATTCAATGTCAAATAATTTGGAAAAGAAGAAATGACTAGATGACAAGTTATAAACATTAATAGAAACATAAACATTTTTAGCCATAATCCATAATGGTTGTATTTACCTTTTTTCAAATAAATGGAAAAATCTGGGCTCTTGATAATCTTTTAAGCCATTGAGTATTTACTCACATGTTATCTTCCACATCAACAATTATGTTTGAGATGAAAATGATCTTTCTGGTTCGTCGTACAGATCTTTCATGACGTTGCCTACCATGCCAGAAATAGGGAAGATCTGCTTGCTGGCATAGACGAGTTCTTGGACCAGGTGACAGTGCTTCCCCCTGGCGAGTGGGATCCAAGTATCCGTATTGAGCCCCCAACCAACGTCCCGTCCCAGGTCAGTGGTACCCCAATCTGCACATTGCTGTCAGATGGAGATATTCCAATTCTGTTGAATTTAAACCATCATGACTCACTTTAAGTTCCGGGGACATGAGTGACCTTGTATTCTGAGGTGCTGCTATTCACTATGAAGGGTTTTCTCCCTAAGGCTACTCAAAAACCTATGATCACTTTTTTCGTATCCAAAGTTTCCCTGATTATGTTTCTAGGTTTGTCAGTACCACATCCGACCCGTGAAGATCCGGGGTAAAATAGGTCTTCAGCAACCCATGCTTGCCGTGAAAGGCAACTATGCTTGTCGTAAGAGGTGACAATCGGGATCAGTTGGTCAGGCTTTCTGACTTGGTTGATCCATGTCATCGTATCCGAATTGTCTGGATTGATGCTCATGATGTCCATCACTGGATTGTCTGGTCCAGACTTGATTATTTCCAGACCGCCGTCATATATCTGGAATATTGCTGAGTGCGGCGTTAAACAACAAGCAAACAAACAGTACCATATCTGTGGTTATGGGTTTTACCAAAGTGACCTGATCTAAGATCTACATCAAGCTGGCATGTGAAATACTGTTAAATGCAGCATGAGGCCTCACTCACTTACTCCCTGAAAGTTCTTGTCCGACTATAGGATTGATGATAATGAGTATATACCGTATTCGATATAATAAGCGCCCCGCTCTTATAAGGGCCCACGGCGGTATTTGCTAATATATTGGCTAGTGAACAATTCCATTTAGCACCCCTTCCGATTGATCAATGTTCACAAGACTTATTTATTCACGTACAATACGCACTAGTGTGTTATAAGCACCCTTAATTATGGGCAATTTTTAGAAAAATATATCTGCCGTACATAAACATTTCAGGCTGTACAAAATTTATCTTTCAACTCTTTTCACCAAAATAATATTCTAATTAGAGCCCCCTATTTCTAATTTTGAGAGCGCCCTGGGCGCTTATTACGTCGAATACGGTATGTGTAAAATGCACCCGATTTCACACTCTAGTATGCATGCTCAAAGCACAATGTACACCCTTGTTATCCCGGTTTGATGTATGGGTCCATTGTTATTCAGGTTCATAACAAATTACAGACGAAAGAACGCAAGAAATACATGGGAATCATTATTGCAATCAATTACAATACAAAAGTCAAGTCAATCCCATCCCTAGTTGCAATCCCCACCAGCCAGGACAGATTAACGATAGTCATATAAAAAAATTGGGTGTTCTTTAAGTCCTTTTGAGTAGTGTAAATGCAAGGGACGTTACTCATTCCTATGATTTGCATCACGATTACGGTCCTATTAAAGGAGTTGCACTATAAAGTTGCTGACCATTCACTCACTCACTCACCCACCCACCCACCCACCCACCCACCCACTCACTCACTCACTCACTCACTCACTCACTCACTCACTCAACCACTCAACCACTCACTCAACCAACCAACCAACCAACCAACCAACCACTCACTCACTCACTCACTCACTCACTCACTCACTCACTCACCCAACCACTCACTCACTCACTCACTCACTCACTCACTCACTCACTCACCCACCCACCCACCCACCCACTCACTCACTCACTCACTCACTCACTCACTCACTCACCCAATCACTCACTCACTCACTCACAGGAAGGCAGGAAGACGGCATCAGCAGGCCCTCCGCAGCCCAATGGTAAGGTGATCATTGAAGAGGAGGCTGATGAACACAACGACCCAACACTGCAGAGAACTGGCAGGTCAGTTGCTTCCAAACAGTGAAGTTAGTAGCATGTATAATCAGAGGCTGCACTGTTTCCTAGTGCGTGTAAATTCACAATAATTCCTTGAGTATCATCTAACAACAAAAACAACATGTTTACCAAACCTTTTATCCTCCCTGTATATCTTCTTTTTTGAGTGGTAAGAAATATGGCTTGGTAAGGGAGTGTAAATTATCAAACTCAGCCATGCATGGACGGTTTGGTCTTTGTGAAGAATCTCTTTGACCGTGACCATGTCCAAATTTGACCTTGTAAGGGGTTTGAATTTTTGTAGTGCAAAGTCGGAATGAAATCTGTAAACAAATGCAAGTATTCATACGTAAACACAAAGGTTGATTTTGCCATTGAAGTGCAAAATGTTAAGTATGACTTTTTTGCTCCATATTAATTCTTGTATCTAAAGCCCTACTCACACATGTAAAACATGCTCTTTACAGGATATTTGGTGGACTGTTAGACGACATCAGGCGGAAGTTACCATATTGGTCGAGTGACTTCCGTGACGCACTGAGTGTACAGTGTATAGCATCCTTCATTTTCCTCTACTTTGCCTGTTTGACACCAATCATCACTTTCGGTGGATTGCTCGGCGACGCCACAGACAACAACATGGTGTGTACGCAATTAAACAATGGTGGTGACTGGGAGGCTGGTGCACAGCCAGTTTTCCCTGACCAATAGGCTGGTACATAGCAGTGTTCCCTGACCAATAGGCAGGTACACAACCAGTTTTCCCTGACCAATAGGCTGGTACATAGCAGTGTTCCCTGACCAATAGGCAGGTACACAACCAGTTTTCCCTGACCAATAGGCTGGTACATAGCAGTGTTCCCTGACCAATAGGCAGGTACACAACCAGTTTTCCCTGACCAATAGGCTGGTACATAGCAGTGTTCCCTGACCAATAGGCAGGTACACAACCAGTTTTCCCTGACCAATAGGCAGGTACACAACCAGTTTTCCCTGACCAATAGGCTGGTACACAACCAGTTTTCCCTGACCAATAGGCTGGTACATAGCAGTGTTCCCTGACCAATAGGCAGGTACACAACCAGTTTTCCCTGACCAATAGGCAGGTACATAGCAGTGTTCCCTGACCAATAGGCTGGTACATAGCAGTGTTCTCTGACCAATAGGCAGGTACATAGCAGTGTTCCCTGACCAATAGACTGGTACATGACAGTGTTCCCTGACCAATAGGCTGGTACACAACCAGTTTTCCCTGACCAATAGGCTGGTACACAACCAGTTTTCCCTGACCAATAGGCTGGTACACAACCAGTTTTCCCTGACCAATAGACTGGTACATGACAGTGTTCCCTGACCAATATGCTGGTACATGACCATGTTCCCTGACCAATAGACTGGTACATAGCCAGTGTTCCCTGACCAATATGCTGGTACATAGCAGTGTTCCCTGACCAATAGGCAGGTACACAGCCAGTGTTCCCTGACCAAAAGACTGGTACATTATCCGTGTTCCCTGACCAGTAGGTTGGTACAAAGTCATTGTTCTCTTAGGTATCTGAGGTGAAATTGGGTTCGCAGACTTGTTTAATGCATGTCCTCGATCCCAATTGCATGGATCGATGCTCATGATGTCAATCACTGGATTGTCTGGTCCAGACTTGATTATTTACAGACCGCCATCATATATTGCTGGAATATTGCTGAGTGCGGCATTAAACAACAAACAAACAAACAAATGAATAGTCCTGTTACCATGTTCTTTGATGCAACACTGAAGAATATGGTGTTTGTGTTACAGGCAGCCCTTGAAAGTATCCTGGCCGGTGCTATTTGTGGCATTGTGTACTCGCTGTTTGCTGGGCAACCCCTCACCATCCTGGGCAGTACAGGACCTGTGCTAGTGTTTGAGACCATTCTCAACCACTTCTGTCAGTAAGTAATGTCACTACCCCTTCTGAACTTCTTGGTAGGATTCTTTCTGATATACCAGATATTTGGCAGTACATGAAAGATTAAAATCATTAATGTATTAATAGTGACTTCTGTCCCTTCGTCATGGGTTTGAAACCTGGTTCGACATGATTATGTTTCTAGGTTTGTCAGCACCATACCTATGATAATGGGTTTCACCAAAGTGGTAAACGCCTGCATCTCTTAGGGCTTTCCTCCCACATTAAGCTGACACGCCATGATATTACTGGAATACTGTTCAAAGCTGCATAAAACCGAAGTCACACACCTACCCATAGTAACTTCTGTACTCATGGATTGATTAAATGGGGATCAACTGTTCAGAATATGTGACCTGGCGAATATCATGTTGTGATACTCCAATGGATTGATGCTCATGCTTTCACTCACAAGATGTGAGCCATATCACTGGAATATGATTGCTGACTTCTGATAAGGAGAATTTATATGATATACTGCGGATGACTTAAACCGTAGTAACATCCTGGCTATTGTCATTTCAGTGAGAACGACCTGGACTACCTCCAGCTGCGACTGTGGATTGGTTTGTGGACTGGGGTCATCCTCATAATTATGGTGGCCTTCGATCTCAGCGCCCTGGTCCGATATATCACTCGCTTCACAGAGGAGAGCTTTGCTGCCCTCATTTCTCTTATCTTCATCATAGAGGCTTTCAAGAAGCTGTTTCATATCCTGGACCATGACCCTGTCAACCTCCGTCCAGATGAGCCCCTGATCTATACGTGTTACTGTGTCCCCGAGAATGCTACGGTCAACTCCACCATTGCCTGGTGGTTTAACCGCACCACGCCCACAGTGTACCTGGACGTGAACCAAACTATGTTGTTAAACTGGGACACTCTGACCAAAGACAACTGCTCTAACTACAATGGAACCATGCAGGGCCCAGGATGTGACACTCCACATTTCGTTGCTGACGTCTTCTTATTCTCTTTTCTTCTCTTTCTGGGGACCTTCACGATTGCAATGGTGCTGAAGATGTCCCGCAACAGCTCATTCTTCCCCACAATGGTAGGTGACACCATGTTGACATTTGTGGCTGACAATTGCAAATGGCTTCCTGTTTCCCATAATTAAGTTTTATCGCTCGGTGTGTATGTGAGATATAGCAGTTGTATGAACTCTCTTGTTACCAGGTGCGGTCTGTGGTAAGTGACTTCGCTGTCCTCATCGCCATCGTCGCCATGCTTGTCGTTGACATCGCAGTCGGTCTCAACACTCCAAAACTCGATGTGCCAGAAACCTTTGCTGTGAGTACTCCTCAATGGCCATACGAAAATCACGAATAATTAATTTGCCTGTTCAGATGCATGATTAGTAATCAAATTTGTAGCACTGAAGATAGGACTGCCTTAATCTTGGTTTCTAAAGAAAATATTGTAAATGTAGTATTGGTTATTGCACCTGTGGGGATTCCATCTTCCCAGCAACCTATTATGCGACTAAATGGATCAGCACTCATACTCTGTGACTTAGGTAGGATGACATGCTACCCCTACAGCGTGGATTGTTGCTCACAATATCTGGTCCAGATGTGAGCCACTCGTATAGCTGGAATATTGCGGAGTGCAGTGTTAAACAGCAACCAAACAAACAAATTATTAGTTGCTGTCCCAGCAGACACAAGAAACTTTGCACAGTCTCACGAGGATCCTGGCAGGAAGCACAATACATCCTTAGTGACCCACACACTTCTCAGAAATTTGAATATATTCAGATAAAACCTCATAGTAGTACATTACATGAATAAGCTACTTTTACAGCACAATTGGAATTGTATATTGATCTGTTCTTTTAACAGCCAACGAATCCCAACAGGAACTGGGTGGTGTCGCCTATTGGTCGCAACCCCTGGTGGACAGCCATAGCAGCAGTCATCCCCGCCCTCCTCGCCACCATCCTCATCTTCATGGACCAGCAGATCACTGCTGTCATCGTCAACAGGAAGGAGAACAAGTTGGTGGTAAGCAGTCCGTCATGGCAGACCATTCACTATTCAGTGTGGGGCAATGTAGAATACTGCTGAACAGAAGTAAGAAATGTCATAACAATTAAACCCATGGATCTGCAACATTCATGCAGTTAGTAACAGGAGGGGTGGAAGGTATACTTCTTGGTTCTGTTTTCCTAAAGTAGTGTTTGACTTATCTATTACAATGTTCACACTCCAACGCATTCCCCTGTTAAATGAACATTGATTCTACTGTGGGACGTGAAATGCCATCTGTCCCAAAATGCAGTGTCCATGATGAGTTTTCTTAAGATTGTTTAGCACTAGTTGTTTGACTCTGTATGCCGATGACCAGGGTTTGATTTACTGCTTGGTATAATAAATGAAGACAATTCCTTATTTGTCCAACTGAAATATTGCTATAGTAACATAAGACCAGCATCACTCTTTCAGTGTTGAATTAAGGTAGTTTCAGCCTGTAACCAAACTTGTTACAGTCGTCTAGGGTTCCACAAGTGACAACTCACTGTGCAGAGTTGTCTTCCATAGGCCTGGCAGGCAGGATCCTGTGATTGTGGGTTTGAATCCCCGATAAACTCAGGTCACATTTCTAGGTTTGTCAACACTGTACCATGCTTGTGGCTTTTACTAGTTTTGTAAAAAACCTGCACAATCTCATTAAAATCAGATCTTACTTCTCACTACCGCTAAAGAAAGTTCTGAGGACATCCGATTACAGTTCATGTCAGATTGTGATTGTGGGTTTAAATCCCTGATAAACTCAGGTCACATTTCTAGGTTTGTCAACACTGTAATATGCTTGTGGCTTTTACTAGTTTTGTAAAAAACCTGCACAATCTCATTAAAATCAGATCTTACTTCTCACTACCGCTAAAGAAAGTTCTGAGGACATCCGATTACAGTTCATGTCAGATTGTGATTGTGGGTTTAAATCCCTGATAAACTCAGGTCACATTTCTAGGTTTGTCAACACTGTAATATGCTTGTGGCTTTTACTAGTTTTGTAAAAAACCTGCACAATCTCATTAAAATCAGATCTTACTTCTCACTACCGCTAAAGAAAGTTCTGAGGACATCCGATTACAGTTCATGTCAGATTGTGATTGTGGGTTTAAGGCCAGACACGGCACCTAAAATTGACATAACTGCTTCAATATGTCAAAATCAAGATTTTGATTTTTTTCGCATATATAATACATGTACTTTGTGATGCAACATGTTTTTTACGATATTGTGTACATTTACTGAATAAAAAACGTTATTAAAATCATAATGTGTGGTATTGTTTTTAAATATGATCGTAATCAACGTGGAAAAACCTGAACTTTCACTCATGACAACGCCCCCGTAGCTGTAACGAACCCCTTCATGTTATACATCGATAGAAAGCTGATCGTTTCCGCCATGTTTCTGTGCAAAAACATTCTAAAAATAGATATTCCACGTGAGGCTATCGTCACTTTTCCCGCGAGTGATTTTGTACGTAAACTACCATTTAAGGAGAAATATCCCATAATGCAACATTCGGGAATATTCGTTCGATCCAAATAAAGTAAAACGTATCCCACAATGCACCATTCGGCTTAGCAACAAAACTTCGGCCTTTTCCAGTAGGTATACAAAATGGCGGCTGCTCAGCGAAAAGTTTGACAGGTAAACATCGTTTTTGATATTTTCTTGACTGAAAATTGTTGTATTTTTTAAAAATGAGGGCAAAACACGGGGCACAACACGCCTATGGTAAGAATAAGAGGCGAAGGGCAAGTCAGTTGAAGGAGGCACGTTCGAAATGCGGTGTTAGAGTTACGACCCGTGTTGACAGCGCGATCGACCCTGTGTCAGATTCTGACAGCTTTGACGTTTTGGATACATCGGAATCATCCGGGGACCACGCCGTTGAGGAAAAAATCCCCGTTGGAGACAATGAAGGTGAGAATTCTTTTTCATTGAATGCAACTTCACGCAGCGACATAAAATTATCAAAATTTAAAGCTGCTGAAAATATCAAATCTCCCGTTCTTGACAATGAACCCAAACCTCAATGGATGTTAATTGACATGAGACAAATGAATTTATTTTTTCAAGAGATTGATTGCCCATCATGTCACGAACAGGGGTCTTTGTTGTTTGAAAAGAGTGACAATTTTGATAGATTTGGATTTGCTGTAAATATTATGTTGACATGCCAAAACTGTCAGATGTGTGTTGACAAAAATTACACTTCACAAAGGTCAGGTAATAAATCGGGTACCAATCCCTTTCAGGTGAATGACATTTTTATGCTCTTTCTGTCAGAGGTAGGACTTGGACATGCTGCTATGAAAAAGTTTTGTCTGGTTTTTGGAATGGAAGGTCTCCATCCAAAGACATTTCAACACAAACAAAACATTCTTTCACAGGTTGTTGTTGAAAATACTGAGGAAGTTTTGACTCAGAGTGTTGAAATTATCAAACATGCTTATGGTGAGCAACAGACAGTTTCAAATGATGTACCTTTAGACATTACTGTCAGTTATGACGGATCATGGCAGAAGAGAGGCCACACTTCAAATTATGGTGTTGGGGCGGTTATTGATGTTTTGACAGGTCTAGTGATTGATTATGAAGTCCTGTCAAAATACTGCCATGCATGTACCCTTCATATCAACAGTCTAGGACAGGACACCACAGAGTTCAGACAGTGGTATGAAGGACATGCTGGTACGTGTTGCCAAAATTATGAAGGTAGTTCCAATGCCATGGAAGTTGAAGCCGCTAAGAGGCTATGGTCCCGTTCTTTGGAAAAGCATAATATACGTTACACATGTATACTTTCAGATGGTGACAGCAAAACCCACAAGGCAATCAACGACCTTCAACCCTATGGACCAGACATCAGTATTGACAAGGAAGACTGTGTTAACCATGCTCATAAAAGGATGGGCACTGCTCTTCTGAAATTGTCAAAAGAGTTGAGATTGGGTGGTAGGGGCAAAGGAAAGCTGACTAAAGACAAAGCTCTTAAATTTCAGTATTATTACCGCTTTGCCATCACTAACAATGTTGGTAACATTGATGGTACAAGGAATGCAATCTGGGCAAGTTTGTTTCATTGCATGTCAACCGATGATTCTCCCCATCACACTAGATGTCCCACTGGTCCCTCAAGTTGGTGTTTTTATAATAGAGCACTGGCTAATGATCTTGAGCCTCCTGCTCACGCAGACAACATCAGACATTTTCTCGATGCAGAAATTGCAGAAAAGATGGTACCTGTGTATCAAAGAATGTCTGATGAAAACCTCCTTAAGAGGATGGTGAAAGGCAAGACACAGAATGCTAATGAATGCTTGCATTCCGTGATCTGGTCCCGTTGTCCGAAGACCGTCTTTGTGGGTGCAAGGCGGTTGCATCGGGCAGTGGCGTCTGCAATAGCTTCGTTCAATGAGGGTACTTGTCACATTACTCAGGTAATGAACAAGCTTGCAATAGAAGCTAATGAAATAACAGCAGCTTCTGTTGAAAGACTTGATAATGTGAGAACCCTCAAAGCAAGGAAGCAAAGCCAGGAGACATCTAAGATGGAACGTAGTGAAAAGTGGGAGGCTAAAAAAAGGGACCGAGTTCATGTTGAGGCAGCTGAAGGCTTGTTGTATGGTGCTGGGGAGTTTTAAGTCCTGTTATTTCTTTGTACATGCATTGTTTTATGTATCTTGAATACATCCCATCAGTAAACTAAGATTTTGTAAGTGTTTAATAGGTGCTTTAGGAAGAAAACCATATACAAACTTATTTCCTCATTTTCTCCATTAACGTCATTTTGGATCTTAGTGAACATAGATCTCAACCGTTATTGGCCCGATTTGAATGAAATTTGGTGTACATATAGGCAGAGGACTACTTTACACAATAACAGAGAGACTTTTTAAAATTTGTTGGCCATTTTGATTTTAAAAAATAAATTATGGGTAAAAATCAACCTAAAAAGTGTGAAATTTTGAAAAATTATTTTAAAAATATATACCAGTCTTTTTTTAATTTTTCTTTCTGTCATTGTACCCAACACCATACAAGCTTTGTTATACAATTGAAATTATATAAATATCTTTATTGGTCTTAGAGAAAAACTGAAACTAATTTCCATCTTTTTCAGGCTTGCGGCGGCCATCTTGGATGTTTCCATGGCAACCGGTGGCAACATCACCTGGAAAAGACTCCATTTCAATTGTTAATATGTATACCTCAAAGTTGTAACCAATTAAAACTAACAAATACTTGTGAAGCATTTTGTCAACTGTAAGGTGCAGTGTCTGGCCTTAAATCCCTGATAAACTCAGGTCACATTTCTAGGTTTGTCAACACTGTACCATGCTTGTGGCTTTTACTAGTTTTGTAAAAAACCTGCACAATCTCATTAAAATCAGATCTTACTTCTCACTACCGCTAAAGAAAGTTCTGAGGACATCCGATTACAGTTCATGTCAGATTGTGATTGTGGGTTTAAATCCCTGATAAACTCAGGTCACATTTCTAGGTTTGTCAACACTGTAATATGCTTGTGGCTTTTACTAGTTTTGTAAAAAACCTGCACAATCTCATTAAAATCAGATCTTACTTCTCACTACCGCTAAAGAAAGTTCTGAGGACATCCCATTACAGTTCATGTCAGATTGTGATTGTGGGTTTAAATCCCTGATAAACTCAGGTCACATTTCTAGGTTTGTCAACACTGTACCATGCTTGTGGCTTTTACTAGTTTTGTAAAAAACCTGCACAATCTCATTAAAATCAGATCTTACTTCTCACTACCGCTAAAGAAAGTTCTGAGGACATCCGATTACAGTTCATGTCAGATTGTGATTGTGGGTTTAAATCCCTGATAAACTCAGGTCACATTTCTAGGTTTGTCAACACTGTAATATGCTTGTGGCTTTTACTAGTTTTGTAAAAAACCTGCACAATCTCATTAAAATCAGATCTTACTTCTCACTACCGCTAAAGAAAGTTCTGAGGACATCCGATTACAGTTCATGTCAGATTGTGATTGTGGGTTTAAATCCCTGATAAACTCAGGTCACATTTCTAGGTTTGTCAACACTGTAATATGCTTGTGGCTTTTACTAGTTTTGTAAAAAACCTGCACAATCTCATTAAAATCAGATCTTACTTCTCACTACCGCTAAAGAAAGTTCTGAGGACATCCGATTACAGTTCATGTCAGATTGTGATTGTGGGTTTAAATCCCTGATAAACTCAGGTCACATTTCTAGGTTTGTCAACACTGTAATATGCTTGTGGCTTTTACTAGTTTTGTAAAAAACCTGCACAATCTCATTAAAATCAGATCTTACTTCTCACCACCGCTAAAGAAAGTTCTGAGGACATCCCATTACAGTTCATGTCAGATTGTGATTGTGGGTTTAAATCCCTGATAAACTCAGGTCACATTTCTAGGTTTGTCAACACTGTACCATGCTTGTGGCTTTTACTAGTTTTGTAAAAAACCTGCACAAATCTCATTAAAATCAGATCTTACTTCTCACTACCGCTAAAGAAAGTTCTGAGGACATCCGATTACAGTTCATGTCAGATTGTGATTGTGGGTTTAAATCCCTGATAAACTCAGGTCACATTTCTAGGTTTGTCAACACTGTAATATGCTTGTGGCTTTTACTAGTTTTGTAAAAAACCTGCACAATCTCATTAAAATCAGATCTTACTTCTCACTACCTCTAAAGAAAGTTCTGAGGACATCCGATTACAGTTCATGTCAGATTGTGATTGTGGGTTTAAATCCCTGATAAACTCAGGTCACATTTCTAGGTTTGTCAACACGGTAATATGCTTGTGGCTTTTACTAGTTTTGTAAAAAACCTGCACAATCTCATTAAAATCAGATCTTACTTCTCACTACCGCTAAAGAAAGTTCTGAGGACATCCCATTACAGTTCATGTCAGATTGTGATTGTGGGTTTAAATCCCTGATAAACTCAGGTCACATTTCTAGGTTTGTCAACACTGTACCATGCTTGTGGCTTTTACTAGTTTTGTAAAAAACCTGCACAATCTCATTAAAATCAGATCTTACTTCTCACTACCGCTAAAGAAAGTTCTGAGGACATCCGATTACAGTTCATGTCAGATTGTGATTGTGGGTTTAAATCCCTGATAAACTCAGGTCACATTTCTAGGTTTGTCAACACTGTAATATGCTTGTGGCTTTTACTAGTTTTGTAAAAAACCTGCACAATCTCATTAAAATCAGATCTTACTTCTCACTACCGCTAAAGAAAGTTCTGAGGACATCCGATTACAGTTCATGTCAGATTGTGATTGTGGGTTTAAATCCCTGATAAACTCAGGTCACATTTCTAGGTTTGTCAACACTGTACCATGCTTGTGGCTTTTACTAGTTTTGTAAAAAACCTGCACAATCTCATTAAAATCAGATCTTACTTCTCACTACCGCTAAAGAAAGTTCTGAGGACATCCGATTACAGTTCATGTCAGATTGTGATTGTGGGTTTAAATCCCTGATAAACTCAGGTCACATTTCTAGGTTTGTCAACACTGTACCATGCTTGTGGCTTTTACTAGTTTTGTAAAAAACCTGCACAATCTCATTAAAATCAGATCTTACTTCTCACTACCGCTAAAGAAAGTTCTGAGGACATCCGATTACAGTTCATGTCAGATTGTGATTGTGGGTTTAAATCCCTGATAAACTCAGGTCACATTTCTAGGTTTGTCAACACTGTAATATGCTTGTGGCTTTTACTAGTTTTGTAAAAAACCTGCACAATCTCATTAAAATCAGATCTTACTTCTCACTACCGCTAAAGAAAGTTCTGAGGACATCCGATTACAGTTCATGTCAGATTGTGATTGTGGGTTTAAATCCCTGATAAACTCAGGTCACATTTCTAGGTTTGTCAACACTGTAATATGCTTGTGGCTTTTACTAGTTTTGTAAAAAACCTGCACAATCTCATTAAAATCAGATCTTACTTCTCACTACCGCTAAAGAAAGTTCTGAGGACATCCCATTACAGTTCATGTCAGATTGTGATTGTGGGTTTAAATCCCTGATAAACTCAGGTCACATTTCTAGGTTTGTCAACACTGTACCATGCTTGTGGCTTTTACTAGTTTTGTAAAAAACCTGCACAATCTCATTAAAATCAGATCTTACTTCTCACTACCGCTAAAGAAAGTTCTGAGGACATCCCATTACAGTTCATGTCAGAATGAGCTTATATCCGGCCATTCAGAGCACCGCTTACCAGATCGGTTAAGTGACAGTCGGAATGTGTTTTCTAATAATGCAACCTCGACAAGGTTAACACAGGTTATTCCGAAGGACAGTTACGGCGTGTATGACTGACTCCGTGAAAATCATCATTCAATTGGATAAACATGGGTGATGGAAGAGGCTTTCCATAGCCCATGGTCAGTACTGCCATATAATCTCAGCCATCTGTTAGACATTCCAGATTTTTCGTTTGTTCCATTTTCAAATTTGGAATCAATTTTTTTTTAAGTGTAGTCTTGAATGGAAGTTGCCATTTTGAAAACAGAGACGTAAAGCTCGAGAAAGCTACTTTCTGATTGGCCAATGTTGACTTCTTGTCAGTCATTTTATTAGTTGGTCAAAGTTCACGATTAATCGATCAGACGTGACCTGTAATGGGATGTCCTTAGATCTTTGTTCAGCGGTAGCAAGAACGAATATCTAATCTTAATGACTTTGAAACCTGCATCACTTCTGGCTTTCTTGCCACATCAAACTGACATGCTGGGCCTACTAATTGAAATACTGTTCAAAGTGGAGTTAAATCAAACTCACTCACTCTCTCTGTAAACAGTGAGCCAGGTGAGCTTCATTACGTTTAGACTGTTTTTTGTTTTTGATGGTGATATGAAGGAAAGCATACAACTGTTGTTTACAGAAAGGTCACGGCTACCATCTTGACCTGCTGCTTGTGGCTTGTCTGATTATTGTAAACTCCTTCATGGGTTTGCCCTGGTTCGTAGCCGCCACCGTGCTGTCCATCAACCATGTCAACAGTTTGAAGAAGGAGTCCCAGTGTTCAGCCCCAGGGGAGAAGCCCAAGTTCCTGGGGGTCAGGTAGGACTACAGCATGTACATATACACCCATGTGTGGTCACAGGGGACAGTGCAACATCTCTAAGTGACATTTTGTCAGCTGTAGCATCAATGAAGATAGAGGTGGTCTAGGGGGCCAGGGGGCCAGTCATCTAAGGCATTGCAATTTGCTGTGCAGAGTTGGACTGCCTCTGCACTTAAAAATTGGCATCTGTCCGGACTAGTACAAGCAGCCTCACAATCACACATGTGCACTATATGCACGTCACTATATATCTGCATTCATCTTGGATGGGATGTTAAACCCCAGTTCACCTCACCTATGCAGAGTTGTGTAAACGTGTGAGACCTGCATCACTTCGGGCTTTCTGTGATATATCTAGAATACTGTTAAAAGCGGTGTGGAACCCATCTAGGTAAATATCTGACCAGTGATACCTCATGTGAACCTGTATGCAAGGTAGGTTTGGTGGGCATTTAAAGAAGAGTTATTTTTCTGTTCATTAACTGTTATTATAGCTAAAATGGATAGAATTATCATTAAACCGCCCGCACATTATCAGAAATGAGCGGGCCACTGTAACTTGATAATGCCCCCATATTGACGTCACGTATTATAGTGATGTCATCTGGTTTGTTCTTTGACGTTTCCATATTTGTAAAAGTTGGTCAGTGACATTCGTGTTGATTGCAGTAAATGTTACAAAACTGATATTGTTGTTTCTTTTTATTTGATAACAAATTCCACCCATTTTAGCTTTAATAACGGTAACCCTCTTTTTCAGGGCATTATCATTTGCAGAAGCCCTCGGTCTATTCAACTGCCCTCCTTCGTCGGGCAGTTAATGGAAGACCTCGGGCTTCTTCAAATGATTATGTCCTGAAAAATAGCGTTACCCTTATAATGTTGGCAGTTCTCCCTTGTCATACATCATCATCTGTCTAACATATTGATTGTCTGGTTTCAGGGAGCAGCGAGTCACAGGCGTGATGATCTTCTTGATGATCGGCCTCTCAGTGCTTCTCACATCCATCCTCAAGGTCAGTATATAGTCAAGGTCAAGCCAGACAATGTCATTTCTTGATTTATGAACACTCTTGGCCACTGCTAGCAGAAGGCAAAATAATTGTTTTGATTTAAGATTTTTTTATAAAAATTATTAGAATTGCTTAAAAAAATAGAGAAAAAGAATGGCTTTTTTAACTTTGCAACATTTATGAAATAATGTTTTGTGGAATACTAGTTAAACAGTCTAACCAATATAGTGGTTTGTGAATGGGGTTCATATCGATTAATGTGTTAAATTTGTAATGGTATTGGCCATGTTGGAGGTTAAGAAGGTACTGGGATCCTTGGGGTTTGTCCTATTGTATTTGAATTTGGTCACTCCCTGAATTGTCAGCCATTATCATTACAGTGACAAAGTCCCCTTGATATAAGATATAATTTGCAGGCAGCTGTGAAATAAATGTCAGAATACTGACTGCTGACTGCAGGCAGCTGTGATGTAGGTATATAATACAAACAGTTGTGCTATAAATGGTATATTGTTGACTGCAGGCAGTCATGATGTAGGTACAATTACAGGCAGCTGTGATATAAATGGTGTATTGTTGACTGCAGGCGGCTGTGATGTAGGTACAATTACAGGCAGCTGTAATATAAATGGTATATTGTTGACTGCAGGCACAATGATGTAGGTACAATTACAGGCAGCTGTGGTATAAATGTGATATTGTTGACTGCAGGCAGCCATGATGTAGGTACAATTACAGGCAGCTGTGATATAAATGGTATGTTGTTGACTGCAGGCAGCCATGATGATGAAGGTACAATTACAGGCAGCTGTGATATAAATGGTATATTGTTGACTGCAGGCAGCCGTAATGTAGGCTGGTATACAAATGTTATATTGCTGACAACTATACCTCCATGTCTCCAGTATATCCCCATGGCGGTTCTGTACGGAGTGTTCCTTTACATGGGCGTGTCCTCTCTGCGGGGCATGGAGCTGGTGGACCGCGTGATGATCCTCTTCATGCCGGCCAAGTACCAGACCGACCTCATGTACCTGCGACATGTGCGCATCGGAAGGGTTCACTTGTTTACAGCAATTCAGATTCTCTGCCTGTCTATTCTGTGGGTCATCAAGACTATCAAGAAAATATCCATTGCCTTTCCTATAATGGTAAGTTCTATCATATCAGAATATATTCTAGTTGCTGTAAAAGCGGGGCTCTAGATGTAGGAAATATTTCATTTCCTGTTTATTTTGTTGAGGACATGCCGGTTCAGGGTAAAAGCCAGTTGTAACAAAATACAAAATGTAAACGTGAGCCAGTTAAACAACCTGTTTTTTGTGTCCTATACAAGTGGTGTAGTCTACAGTTGGTACCCACTCCAGCAGGGAGGAGGAGTCATTGGGATGGAGCTTGCTTGGGACAAATGCACACTGCCACTTCCAAAGTACTCATTCAAGCATGGCAATGGTTGTCATAGTTTCAGCATTTGTGTTGTATCAGATTTCCTGTTAATTTGAAACCATGCAGCAAACCGCCTTGCATAGATATAATTTGTGTAATTAGAAGAGTGCAGAAATGGCACATTCTAGAAGGAACACCGAACAATTTATTTTTATTCCCTTTCCTTAAATGGTAAGTCATCATGCCTAAACTGTGATTAATCTGATGCTACGGTTTGTGTTTGTGCTGCTGATGGATGCTGTTGCTGATGGGTGCTGCTGTTGCTGATGGATGCTGTTTGTGTTGCTGATAGATGCTGTTTGTGTTGCTGATGGATGCTGTTTGTGTTGCTGATGGATGTTGTTTGTGTTGCTGTTGCTGATGGATGCTGTTTGTGTTGCTGATGGATGCTGTTTGTGTTGCTGATGGATGCTGTTTGTGTTGCTGATGGATGTTGTTTGTGTTGCTGTTGCTGATGGATGCTGTTTGTGCTGCTGTTGCTGATGGATGCTGTTTGTGTTGCTGTTGCTGGTGGATGCTGTTTGTGTTGCTGATGGATGCTGTTTGTGTTGCTGTTGCTGATGGATGCTGTTTGTGTTGCTGATGGATGCTGTTTGTGTTGCTGATGGATGCTGTTTGTGTTGCTGATGGATGCTGTTTGTGTTGCTGTTGCTGATGGATGCTGTTTGTGTTGCTGTTGCTGATGGATGCTGTTTGTGTTGCTGATGGATGCTGTTTGTGTATGCTGATGGATGCTGTTTGCGTTGCTGATCGGTGCTGTTGTTGCTGATGGATGCTGTTTGTGTTGCTGATGGATGCTGTTTGTGTTGCTGTTGCTGATGGATGCTGTTTGTGTTGCTGATGGATGCTGTTTGTGTTTGCTGATGGATGCTGTTTGCGTTGCTGATGGGTGCTGCTGTTGCTGATGGATGCTGTTTCTACTGCTGATGGATGCTGTTTGTGTTGCTGCTGCTAATGGATGCTGTTTGTATTGCTGCTGCTAGGTGCTGGCGATGTGTTTTGTGAGGAAGGGCATGGACTACCTCTTCACCCAGCGGGAACTCAAGTGGCTGGATGACATCATGCCTGAGTCCCACAAGCGGGCACAGGAAGACGAGGAGAAACAGAAAAACGAGGTAACCATGATGATATCAGCTTGTAGGCATTCCAGTCCTAGAAGACGTGCTTGTTGTGAAAGCTGACTCATGAGAATAGGGTGGTTACAATGTGTCCCTTTTTGCATACTTCCAGGTAGCAGTGATATAACTGAAATAGTGCTTGCAGTGGTGTTAAGCTGTGTATGAACAACTTGTTTGCCTCGCCCTTGATGGTACAGACAAATGTGATAAAGTTGACTGCAGTGTAAAACATGGACTCAGTCACAGTGCACTCTTCAGATAATTCAGTGATTCAGCTGTTAAAAGTAACCTATGTGCATGCAGCAACAAACCGCCTTTGAAAGGTCGGTGATTCAATCCCTGGCCTTGTCATACCCAAAAAATGTAAGGAGAGGGTACTTCATGTTTCCCTGCCTCTTGGTTTTAAGGGGATAAGACAAGGACTAGGAGTTTTACTGTTAAACTGTGCCATGGTGTGTCGGTGGGCTAGCACTATAAAACTGGCATCAGTGTGGACGATGAGAATGCATGCAGTGCACAATATACATGCAATAATCCTGAATGCAGCATTGAACCCCATTTCACCTCACCACAAGCACCAACACAATACAACACACCTAATAAACAATTTCCTGTCCCAGGAGAGATTAAGCATTGTGGATGGGATGGACGGCGGCATGACAGGAAACAATTTCACCATGGCAATATCCGCGGATCCTCACCTGGACTCCGTGAACATCTCGGAGGAGATGGCCAAGACTGCCCTGTGGAAGACCATTGTGGCCAACGACTCCTCCTCTAACCTCATCTCCGACATGGAGCACCGATCCAGCTCTAAGAAGTATGTGAAGTGAGATTGCTTGTTATGTGACCCAAACATGGGATAATTAAGGCATCTTATGGGGGAAAAATGACATTTTGACTTCTCATTATTTTTATCACTACAATATCTTAGGTAGAATAGGTCTTCAGCAACCCATGCTTGCTGTAAAAGGCGACTATGCTTGCCGTAAAAGGCGACTAACAGGATCGGGTGGTCAGGCTCGCTGACTTGGTTGATGCATGTCATCGTATCCCAATTGCGTGGATCGATGCTCATGATGTCAATCACTGGATTGTCTGGTCCAGACTTGATTATTTACAGACCGCCGTCATATAGCTGGAATATTGCTGAGTGCGGCGTTAAACAACAAACAAACAAACTTAGGAAGACAAAAATATGATTAACAAGCTTAAATTCATTTTGATTATAGATATACATGGCATGAAACATTTGTTCTCAGTTGTTTTTTGCTGTCCCCTTTTCAGACTTGAAGACAATCCTGATCATATTAAGCTGACATACTAATTGTTTTGAAAATAGCTATCACCTTTGACTAGCTGAAATATGATTTTAATTTACTCAAAAGGTTTGACAACTGTTTATAGTAGAAGACGTTTCACCGAAGACAAACCAACTACAAAAATGACTTCAATGCCTGTATTTTAATCCCTGTTGCAAATGTCTGATTAATTAAAATAGATAAGAAGGATGAAATAGTTTGAACTAATGTTTGTTAGAAACTATGCTGTTGATCACAGTAAGCTCAAATAACATACTGACTGCAGCAGACTGAAATATATACAGGCTGATGAGATATTCCAGCCGTTGTCCACAGGAAACCGGGATATATACTGCTGTATTGCCTCTGTGACGTGCCTTGTATGCAACTGAGACCACCTCCGTGGTCAAGAGGTAGAGCATCTGCCCGGAGAGAGGAAGGTCTGAGGTTTGATCCCCGGCCATGTTATATACCAAAAGACGTTAAAAGATGGTACTTGTTGTTACCCTGTCTGGAGCGTGGCATAAAGGGGCTAAAACAAAGACTGGCCGGCTCGGAATCAGTATACTGTGTTTGAGTGTGGTATCCATGTTAAACTGCGGCATGGTATCCCAGTGTGCTAGCACTATAATTTGCCATAAATCCAGGCCCCCCCCCCCACACACACACACACACGTGCATGTATGTAAGCGTAATAATCTTGGACGCCACGTTAAACCCCATTTCACCACCACCTGTATACAATTGATTAACAAGATGTGATATGATAACTGATGACCACTGCAAGATGAGATATACAAGCTGTTGATCACAGGAAATTGGGATATATACTGCTGTATTGCCCCTGTCATTGTGCCTTGTATACAACTGATGTACTCTTTTCAGGAAGAAGAAGCATGGCAAGAAGAAGCACAGTGAGAAAGACCCCGAGTCACTTCCCACCATCCCTGGCAGCCCACAAGCTGTGTCAGAAGAAGATGAAGAAGAAGAGGAACACATAAGATCACCAACCAAGAAGAAGGGTCACCCAGTTAAATTTTACATCGATGACGATGGCCCTGAAGAGAAAGAATCTCTAATTAAGCCCCCACAAATTGTTGTGGACCCTCCAAGTGACATTGGGAATATGAGTTCTCCTGATAATGAGGATACTAAAGTGTAAATATGTTTTTCTTTAGGAACTATCGACTTGTTTTGTATATAGTAGAACTAACCCAAATTTTGGAATGTGTGGAAGGGTGATACCTGATAATCAAAGGGGGTTAACTCCAATAGTTAATCTGAAGATGTTAATGAGACTGTGCATCAGTGGTGTGAATGTAACACGTGAGTGCTGTCAAGTTCAAGGAATTCATAATGCCTCCATGTAATATTCGAATGTCAAGGTCATGGCTCGACCTACTTATGGTAATGGACTGCTGATAGAGAATTGTGAGTGATAACATATCAGAGAATGTTTCGTCAAAATGCAAGTGGGGGACTAAAGAAGCCCTGATATGTATAACATGAATTTATCAATAGGTTTTTGTTTGTTTCAAAACATTGTGTTGATTGTCACTTTTAGTTAAGACTATTTATTACCTGTTGGGTGCTACAAGAGTTTTCTAAGGGTACGTCTGATCCGAGACGAATACAAGGTTTGAAGTCCAGATGAAATCTGATTATGATCCCTGGACTCTCCGCACCATGCTCACAAGTTTCACCCAAAGTAGTAGACATCTATAACCTGTGTCATGTTTCATTTTCGTCTCATATTAATTAAGCTGACACCGTGAAATACTATCCAATTTGGTGTCAAGCCCAAACGTGCATATTCAATCGAAACTCTTTCGGGTTTCAAATCAGTGCTACATCCATCAGTGTTTCCAGTCATCCAGACAGACAATGATATAAACGTTGGCAGTCAGAGATATTTTGAGAATCAAGTTGCAAGTGTTAAAGGCTTGTAACCAAATGGAAGCTGTGGAGAGTACAGTGCTATTTTCTTCATTAAGCCTTGCTGTCAAAGCCTTAGATATAGTTTCGGGCTTTGATGTGAAATTACCCAGTACTTTCTTGCTCAACCTGTTAAGGATATGATCCATATTCATGAGACTTACAGCACCGATTTCTATCAAACTTTGTGACAATATTTTGAAACAAACTTGAACAATTAGTGGAATGTTGTATGTTGACAAATGTGTATTATTCCTGGTTTTATTTCCATGAATTGCAACGTTCATGTGGTTGTTAGTTTATGAACCTGCTGTAAATCTGCATATGCCATAAAAAAAATTATTTTATCTATAGATCATGTTTTATGTGCATTTTTCAGACTTTTGTGTTTCTTTTTTAATTTGATCCCCTGATTTCATGACAAGAACTGACTTTGTAAGTGAAAGGAGGCATTGCAGCTCACATCCTGTTTGGCTACTCCAGCTGTTTTAATGTTTCAAGAATTAGTCTGTTAATATTTTACACTTTTATGCTTTTATCTACACTGGTTTTATGATAGTTTTAGATCAATCTCATTAAAATCAGATCTTTACCACCTTGATTTAGAAATTTTGATCTTAGCAACAGAGAACTGCCACAGAAGACAAGTATACCCTATATAGTACTCCCTTTTGAGTGTATGATGCCATGGCTCTCCGAAGTGACAGGATGTATCTGATTTTAATGAGATTGTTTTTAGAAAGATTAAGAGCAGCTTCATATTTCTTGATCATTGATTCATGTTACATTTGCTAAAACATTATGTCCACAGAGCATGTTATTTTCATATTGAGGTAACAAAGAGTGATGACAATGTTATGCATAATTTTTAAAGTATCATTTATCATAATACAAGTCATATATCAATATTTTCTGTAAGGGCACGATCTGATCTTGTCAAGAAGTATGGAATATTGAGATTAGTCAAAATTCTATCTGTACAAATATTTCCTAGTACAAGAGTTCCCAATTAAGACAGCTTGTCATTGGAAATGAGAAGTTAAACAAAAAGTGACCACTTGGGTTTGTTTTTTTTTATTGTGGAACTCTGGGTGGTATGTTTAAATTTAATTATCATTTTTAAGAATTAAGAAAATTATTTTCTTTTGGGATATAATCATACGAAGTGTTATCCTGGGGTAGCTATGAGCCCTCTTTAGGGCTGTTTAACGAGGGAGGGTAATTTGTGGCCAAGTATTGAAATAACGCAGTTATCAGTTGGTTGTGGTGTTATGAACATGTCTGGATACTGGCTATTCAATATCTGAGGGGCTGCCTCCATGGCCTGGTGTATAGAGCATTGGGAAGTCAGTGGTTTGATCCCCAGTACACAGCATTGTGGCTGTACATGGTTGGAACATCGCAGCTGTTGTTCAGTTATCCTTCCTTGCGGACTTGACATAATGGAGAGTTTATAGCACATTAGGAGAAAGTGTTGAATAAAACATTATTTTTGCAGATTTTGTATAAAAAGACAATCCAGTTAGCTTTATGTTTGCTTGTTTTTACCAATGCGACAACAAGCAGGACAGGTCTGCTACATGTTTTATCTCTTGTTTCTTGTGCAATGTTTGTGCAGTGTCTTCATCGGCAGTTTAATCCAAACATACTGCATCTGTCCACAGGTTGAGCATTTTTTCTGTTGTCATTACTCCTTGCGTTTATTTTATCCTTTTATACCTTGACACAGAATGTGAGTTGGTTGTGAGTGGATGCTGATCGTCGTCTTAGTCGATCTGTCTGTCAACATTTCTCTCTGGAATTAATTAATCCAATATTACTTTAGGACATTTTGTTGTTTTTTAAATGTTTTTGGCATGGAATCAATCATGTGGTGTAATCTCAAAACAGATCCATATTTGTTTCATGAGAGTCGGCAGGACCAGTGGGGATGTGATGACTTTTTTTATATTAGCTATTTAGACAATCGGACTCGTGAATATTATTTTGGATATTATTTTGTTTTGAAGCTTAACATTGAAATCCATTTTTGATTGTTTCAATCATCCTTTATGTAGGGATTGTAATATTTGGTGGTTTTCATTGTAATGTTCAATATTTTGGACTCGCATTAGCACTTCACCTATTCTAATATTGGCCATGATATGTTTATTTCACAATGCCTGATGTTATGTTTTACATGACAGCTTAGCTCTCTGTTCAAACTAGTGTCTGTGTATGATGGTTTTAGGGTGAATTGTCACTTCGTTGATTCTCTAGTATGTATGTTATTTTCATAATTATGTAATTCTCCTTTGCTCTGACAATTTAAATAGTTATGTTTGACATCAACTTATTCATTAGTCTGTCTCAGTTGCCAATATTATTTTTCAATTGGGGAGGGGGGGGGGATGTTCAAGCTAGTCTTTAGTTAAGCATTATAGACCATCTTATAGAGATAGTGTTCATCAGGAATATAAGTTTTGATATTAGGAAAAATTAGTTGTATATTTGTGAGCTGTACCTACGTTGAAACCTACTGTTTCATTGCAATCAGAATGTGCTGTGGAAAGACTGACTTGCAAGAAACATGATGGGGTTGAGCGATTATATTCGTTATGCTGTACAAATGCTTGGTAGAACAGATTGTGTTGTGAAATGTATTATCCTCCAGTAAAACAGGCACAATGTTTCTTTCGAAGTTGCAAAATATGAGATATGGTGATCACAAGTGATAACAGGTAGATAACAACCATGATAGATAATAACTATGGGGTGCCAATTTTTCTTTTTCTCAGCCTGAACCAAAACAGATGAGGAACTGAGTATGGAGATGCTGGCTGACGAAGCTGGAGGAAGCAGCCATATATGCAATTGCTGTACATCTGAAATGATATGACTTGTATAACAGTGCTTATTAATGTATGGTGGTTTTGTAATCGCTACATTGTAAAGTGTCCACATAATATGTTGTTCATCACACAGTCAATCATTGGCCTTTCTTTTTCTCTTATATAGCAATGATTTTGATAGTGATATTTGTTTTAGTTTAAAGAGAAATAGCAGCTGAAAATCCTAAATTTATTTACTATTTTCTTTCTCCAGTTTTAGACATCCAGTAGGCAGCATATGTGATTGCCCACTTGATGAGTGAAGTACTCCAGCTCACCCCTTCCAGGGGAGGTTTAAAAAGACACTTGAGTGGGTTAGTGATCTGAAATGAATCCGCAATGACGGGGCCATGAATCAGCTGATCGAAATTCCCTTGTCTAGCTACCTCGATTGAGTTTGTTTGTTTTCAAATTTTGACGGCAGCAAAATAAATTCAAATTTCTACGCCATGATGTTCATATTCACAGACAAAGAAATTTGATTTTGATTTTCCTGTGATAAATGGCCTGGGGGTCAAGTCACTGCATTATTCATGTGACTGGTCCCACTTTTGACATTGTACATATATGCCATGAATGTTGAATGTTATGAAGGGGGTATGCATTTATTAGTCTTTTGTCATGAGAGAATAGTGCTGTTTGATTCTTGTTATGTGTGTCATATCACTTAGTTTTCATTTATTGATTTTGTGCATAATTTTATGGTAAACTTGATCAGTGGATACATACTACTCAAGAGAAGTTAAAGAAGACCTGATCCTTTCATTTTACTGTAGTTAGGGTGTTTTTTAGCTTCTCTTCTTTTGAGTTGTATAGTATTCTGTGAGACCACTCTGCTTTTATCTTGTCAACATTTCATATTCTATGAACCAAGACATGCCTGGCCTTTTGATATTATAAAAGTCCATCACAGGTGTTTTTGCCATTGAACTATTTCTGACTGAAACAAATAAGGTTTTAACAAAAAGTTTGGCCTCCTGGGGAACATTCAGTGTATTTTATCTAGATTCTGTCATCACCATTTGTTCCAGCAGCTGTCCGAACAAACTGTTCGTGAAGTTACTGTTGAGAGAGATGCACAAAGCTATGGAAGTGAGCGGTCAAGTCATAATAGCACGTAGAATACACTGGATAATCAAGGATGAATTAGTAACACAATTGAGGAAGTCATTAAAGGTCTATATTCATATCTACAACTTGGTACTGGAAGTTTAATCCCTGGTGGATTTTTTGTATTATGAAATTTATTGATTTCAGCTATTTTAGTATTATGTGATATTTATTTTAATTTTGTCAAATAAACTTCAGGAAACAACATTGCTGCCAAATGATTATTCAAAATCTTTCCACACGAAGCTCTCATAAAATGATGAGAAGATTCAGAACTATACTCCTGGTGAGTTGCTGCAACTGTCCAACCACTAGTCTGTGTGCCGTAATGTGATATATATTATGTATGATCAAGTTTATCAATAAAAACCTCTAGTACATCTGTGTATCCGTAATGTTTCGTAAAACAGCCAATAAGATATGGTGATATGGGAGAGCTCTTGGATTGGAACAAAAATTGCATGTCAAGCCCAATCCTGCGACAATTGTGTCTGGATTTATCTGACCTAGGACTGGAGTCCGTCCGATAACGCACACATTTCTGTGATTAAAATTGGTCGAGAAGAGAGATTTGTTGCACAGTGGAAACCTGGGTCATGAATGAGAAACGATGAAAGTATAATTGGTTTATTCAGATGCTATTTACAAATATCACATGTTGGCATCGACTTCAGTACTGTAGGTGGTGGTTTAACTTCGTGTCAAAATCAAGGAAAAGTTTCTTCTTGAGAGTGAAAACAGGACAAGGGATTTGTGTCACATAGCCACTTCCATCTCGCGCATAGCCATGCTTCTTGGAGACGTCATTGTTAACTTGGGTCAAAATATCCAAAATGTTTTCTCTGTAAAGATAGAAAAGACACACTGTATTTTCTTGAGTAAAGTGCACACACATGTATAATGGGCACCCCCCTCTAGATTTTTTTTTTTTTATATTATGCACAGAAAAAAATTACACTGTACCCTTCAGCGAATTCCGTGTGCACTGTACTCAAGAAAATATGGTACTATAACCTGGAAAACGACAGGGACCTTAACATATTTTATAATGTGATTTTGGATGACCATGCAAGTGAATACCACCTTTAGCAATATTCAAGCCATATCACAGCATGAACACGGCTTCCTCACACATTGTACCAATGTCTTGAACATTGAACCCATGCCTTTGGCATGACAAGCAACGTGACTTTGAATTCACACTCACTCTAGTTTATGTAAAATAATCTCACAAAGGGTTGATCGATAAGTTCTGAGCCTTGCTTAGAAGAATTTGCGTAACAATTAAATCTTCGTTGTCATGGAGATAAATCCTCAAAACTTGCAGAAAAAGGTCATAACACCAAAAGCCATCCATGAAGATGAGTACAACACTAGGAAAGGATGCCCCTTTAAAGAGGTGGGCAGCAAAGTTACAGCGTCGCAGGGAGAGCCTTCAAGAAGATCCCAGTCCTGGAAGGCCTAAGACATCCGTAACACCACAAATGATCCAGATAATCCACAATATCAGTGATGACCGCCCGGCGATTGACTGAGTGTCCTATTGATAGTTCAGTTCACAATTCCCTGGAAGGAGTATATTCTATTATCACAGAAACTTTAGCAATGAAGAATATATCAGCTCTTTGAGTTCCAAAGCTTCTGACATATGATAAAAAAAACCTCACCAGTCAAAACATGTCATGCTAATCTCACTGTTTGAAGCTGATGAAGAAAGGTTGGCATAATGATTTGTGACTACGAATGAAACATGGGTTCACCACTTCCTGCCTGAGCCAAACAATAAGTTTGTCCATTTACCAAAGGCCACAGACACCTGCTTAATTTGCTGTTTTGTCACAGTGAAACAATTTGCTCACTAGTATGTAATTCCTTCTTTGTGGAGGGGACAAGTGGCCTGGTCGTCTAAGGCGCTGCGATTCGCTATGCAGAGTTGCGTCCCTTGGGCACTCCAGAAACCTATGATTGTGGGTTCAAATCCCGGTTTGCCATGATTATGTTCTAGGTTTATCAGCACCATACCCGTGCTCGTGGGTTTCACTGAAGTGGTAAACGTCTGGGGCCTGTATCACTTCGGGCTTTCCTCCCACATTAAGCTGACACGCTGTAATATACTGGAATAATGTTAAAATCAGCATTAAACCCAACTCACTGACTCACTCACTCCTTCTATGTGGGGTTCACACACTGTACCTTTCTGCACTTCCTTTCAGTCTGTCAACAAGAGCCTGGATATACCAAGACCCCTCGTCCTCACTCCGATAGGACTTGTAGCCAGGGGGCGTAGCGTATCCTAGCAACATATTGGCCTCAAGGTCCACAGCTGATGGCTGCTTGTCATCAATTAGGACATCAGACTTGACATCCATAGCAGGAATATCCATTTCTAGTCCTGAGACAGAGAGAGAAAAAACCCAAATAAGTTTGACCACAAAGCTCTGTGAATGAAACCGAAACATGCTGTCAGCTTCGTGAGGTGGACAGGTGTGTTGTGAATGAGTTAATAGTTAAGAGTGTGAAGGCTTACTGTGGGAGGAAAGTGTGAACCGATGCAGGTGTTCTCACGGGTATAGTTCTAACGAACCATGGCTCAGGTAATCAAACCAAGAACCAAGATTTGAACCCACAATCATAAGTTTCTGGCATGCCCAAGGGATGCAACTCTGCACAGCTATTTGTGGTACCCGTGGCCTCAGCTGGCGGCCTTAAGGCCAATTTTCAGTTTCAGAAAACAAACCTCAAATCAGTTCTGTTGTATGGTTATTCTTCAGTTTGTAACAAAGTTATTGCAGTGTCTGGGGCACGGGTGGCCCAGTTGTCTAAGGCGCCGGGATTCGCTGTGCAGAGTTGCGTCCCTTGGGCATGCAAGAACCCTATGATTGTGGGTTCGATTCCTGTTTCGCCCCAAATTATGTTTCTAGATTTGTCAGCACCATACCCATGCTTGTGGGTTTCACCAAAGTGGTAAACAATTTGGATTTGGAAAAAAAAGTTAATTGCATAAAATAATTTCACAACTTAAATTTTTCTCAATTCTAGCTTAGAGCCCTAATAAACATGTCCATAAGAATCAAAACCATACGCCAGAAACCATAGATACCTTGCTGGGAAGCATCCCCTTGACATGCCTGGAAGAAGAAGAGCTTCGGTTTCTCGGCCAGGGAGGGACATTTACTGTCAAAGAACAGTTCCAACAGGCTGGATATTGCCACATCCATCCCATCCACTCCAAACACGCGGCCCATGGAACCATGAGACAACACACAGCAGATGAAGCAGTCATAGCGCCAATGATCCCGGACAGATATTGCCTTCAAGATGTCAGTAATTTCTTTGGCATTACGATCCTTGTGGAGTTCTACTTCATACGAGAACGTCTGAAAAAGTCTTTCCAACCTACCTGTAAAAACAATAAAATAGACAAGACTATTATTATTGCCAACATGTAAATACTATGTATTGTGTAAACCTTGAAATATAAAACTGGAGAATATCTTTTGAAACCCCTTAAAAATATCTATTTCTCAAATAAGATGCTCACTGCATTCTCCTAGCATTTAACACAGTATTATTAAAGGAACAGAATTTGTAAATTATGCAATACACAGGAAGGAGAAGTGAGTATCATCTTTTCTGTGTATGTCCAGGATATCATCATTTGTGTATTGAATATTTATCACCATATATGTACTAACCACCAAATATTTCAAGTTTATTGTACCAATGTCTTTCGAAAATATCAACTTGTTAAAATGATTGACATCATATATATGGCATGCCATGAAATATAGAAAATGAATGTTAAAGGATTAACTAATAATATATATATTACACTATAGGTGTGGCCTTTAATGTAATAAATATTGATTGACATGACCGTAACAAAGAAGCGCTTGTCGAAAGAATCCATAGTCCACATTATCAGGTAATGTAGAGAAAGGAAATTTTGCAGAATACAAACAATATGTTTAAATCACTCACGAGCATCAACACTTGTTCCCCGCCTGTTTGTATGTCCCGAAGTAAAGTTCTCATTATTGATAATGACACATATTCCTAGAAAAGAAATAAAATCATTTATCCCAACATGAATCTGCAAATGATTAATGGCCAATTGAGGACCTGCTTTTCCAAGCATGACCCCAGTTCATTAGTTTCTTCATGCTAAACACAATGTCTGTCACACGAAGCCAAGACAAGCATGACCAGTTCATGAGTTTCTTCATGCTAAACACAATGTCTGTCACACAAAGCCAAGACAAGCATGACCAGTTCATGAGTTTCTTTATGTTAAACACAATGTCTGTCACACGAAGCCAAGACAAGCATGACCAGTTCATGAGTTTCTTCATGCTAAACACAATGTCTGTCACACGAAGCCAAGACAAGCATGACCAGTTCATGAGTTTCTTCATGCTAAACACAATGTCTGTCACACGAAGCCAAGACAAGCATGACCAGTTCATGAGTTTCTTCATGCTAAACACAATGTCTGTCACACGAAGCCAAGACAAGCATGACCAGTTCATGAGTTTCTTCATGCTAAACACAATGTCTGTCACACGAAGCCAAGACAAGCATGACCAGTTCATGAGTTTCTTCATGCTAAACACAATGTCTGTCACACGAAGCCAAGACAAGCATGACCAGTTCATGAGTTAATTCCTTCACGCTAAACACAATGTCTGTCACACGAAGCCAAGACAATTAAAGCATGACCAGTTAATTCATGAGTTTCTTCATGTTAAACACAATGTCTGTCACACAAAGCCAAGACAAGCATGACCAGTTCATGAGTTCCTTCATGTTAAACACAATGTCTGTCACACGAAGCCAAGACAAGCATGACCAGTTCATGAGTTTCTTCATGTTAAACACAATGTCTGTCACACGAAGCCAAGACAAGCATGACCAGTTCATGAGTTTCTTCATGCTAAACACAATGTCTGTCACACGAAGCCAAGACAAGCATGACCAGTTCATGAGTTTCTTCATGCTAAACACAATGTCTGTCACACGAGGCCAAGACAAGCATGACCCCAGTTCATGAGTTTCTTCTTGTTAAACACAATGTCTGTCACACGAAGCCAAGACAATTAAAGCATGACCAGTTCATGAGTTTCTTCATGTTAAACACAATGTCTGTCACACGAAGCCAAGACAAGCATGACCAGTTCATGAGTTTCTTCATGCTAAACACAATGTCTGTCACACAAAGCCAAGACAAGCATGACCAGTTCATGAGTTTCTTCATGCTAAACACAATGTCTGTCACACAAAGCCAAGACAAGCATGACCAGTTCATGAGTTTCTTCATGTTAAACACAATGTCTGTCACACGAAGCCAAGACAAGCATGACCAGTTCATGAGTTTCTTCATGTTAAACACAATGTCTGTCACACGAAGCCAAGACAAGCATGACCCCAGTTCATGAGTTCCTTCACGCTAAACACAATGTCTGTCACATGAAGCCAAGACAAGCATGACCCCAGTTCATGAGTTTCTTCACGCTTCACACAATGTCTGTCGCACGAAGCCAAGACAAGCATGACCAGTTCATGAGTTCCTTCACGCTAAACACAATGTCTGTCACACGAAGCCAAGACAAGCATGACCCCAGTTCATGAGTTCCTTCACGCTAAACACAATGTCTGTCACACAAAGCCAAGACAAGCATGACCCCAGTTCATGTGTTTCTTTACGCTAAACACAATGTCTATCATTGGCCAAGATGGTGTATTCATTGAGCATGACATCAACCTGACCAATTTTTCTAGACATATGAGAGTAGGAGTCTTAAACACTGTTTGGGGGCTGCAGTGGCGTAGCCTAGTGGTTAAAGCGTTCACTCATCACTCCGAAGACCCAGGATCGATTCCTGACATGGGTACAATGTGTGAAGTCCAATTCTGGTGTCCCCCATCTTGATATTGCTGGAATATTGCTGGAATAAACTGGCTTAAAACCATACTAACTCACTCACTCAACACTGTTTGCAATTAATGTTCCAGCCAAAGCACAGAACGGGGACACCAGAAATGGCCTTTACACATTGTACCCATGTGGGAGATTGAATCTGGGGTTTGGGCTTAATACACTGGGCAAACATTTTTGGTTTGTTACAGGTAGAGATCGAGTGTGTACTGCTGTTGTGCATGTGCAGGTCATGGCTTCTGTGGACACACATGTTGCACATAAGACTATTAAGAAGTCGATACCAGAATTCTTAGCCGAGACTCGCACATATCCATTGTACTACTTGTTGCAGACCACCTGCTACCCCTTTCTTCACAATGGTACGTGCCACTAGGCGGACCTCATACATAGTCAGACAGGGTTAATTGTCAGGTCACACAACTTATCCTGGCTTACAAGCAGACATCATTTCCTAGATAAATGTGAGTCGATCACTAGTCTTATTACAACGGCTTGTATGTGTAGGAGTCCAGGCAAGCAAGGGCTTGTTTCACAGAGCAATCGTAGATGGGACTCATTTGTCAATGTAAGAGTTTAGGAGCTACGATAGTCACAGCAAAACAAGAGCTCGTTTCACAGAGCAGTCGTAGCTGGGACTCCTAGGTCAATGTAAGTGTTTAGGAGCTACGATAGTCACAGCAAAACAAGGGCTTGTTTCACAGAGCAGTCGTAGCTTGGACTCGTAGATCAATGTAAGTGTTTAGGAGATACGATAGTCACAGCAAAACAAGAGCTCGTTTCACAGAGCAGTCGTAGCTTGGACTCGTAGATCAATGTAAGTGTTTAGGAGCTACAATAGTCACAGCAAAACAAGGGCTTGTTTCACAGAGCAGTCGTAGCTTTTTTGCAGGTCAATGTAAGTGATTCATGATTAATTAACTTACCTTTAGGATCTGAAGTAATTCTGTATTGGTCAGCTTCATATGCTAATTGGCCTGAAATTAAATGGTCTTTCAATTAGTACATGCATGGAGTTTTCATTCAGCAATTCACTTCGGAAATTTGAAATCTGAGTCCGATCCAAATAGATCGAAGCCTGCACATGAAAACAAAGTATATTTTAGACATACATATATATAATATTTGTGATCATGGTGATATGAACACAATCAAAAATTCATTTTTATATTTACTATATTTAACTTTTTACAATTATTACATTTATATCTAATATTCAAATTTGTGACAAAACAATACATTAATTCAAAACTTGAAAATGAATTTGTGATAATAAACAACGGTGCCACAGCTCTGTCTCTCAGTTGATATGTAGTCAACTGTTAATAAAAATATAGTATCTGTCAGCATTGCTATTCAAATATTTCCTTCATAAATACTTCATCTTATGATGGGTACAATATGTGATGTCATCATAAGGAGGCAAATACAAGCCATTGTTCAACTCCGTCAGTATATGCCATTGGAGAGAATTAGAGCATGGTCAAATCAAGATCAAACTTCAAATAGTGTGACAAGAAACGAAACGTGTTGAATCCCACAACTAACATAACATCAAGTTTAATTACATATTGTTCAAGAATGGCCTTTAATGGATTTTACAATATGGCTGCAGAGGTAGACATATTAAATATCAGATTTGAACCTCTTGAACAAATTCAGGTGTTATCATTGGTGGAAACAAGCATTTGAACATGGCGAAGTCTCAGTTTTGTTGGTCCAGTGGTTTCTGAGGAGATGATGTTAACAGTGAATGGATATGCAGTTTGAGAGACATCAGTAGCATTGTTCAAGGTCATATGTATAATAAAGGTCAAAAACTTAAAATATCTTTTGAAATTGAACAGATGCGTAGAGTCCCACTACTATCAACACCAACAGCAAATTTCCTTACATTTTGATAGAAAATTGCTCAGTAAGTTTCAGCTTTCAGTATGGTCAAAGTGCAAATGTAATGGTATAAATGTAAATATCGCAATATCAAGAAATATGTTGATCCCCACTGCTGACTACACATGTAACGTATATGTCCGCGTATAAGCCGAATTTTGAGGACCAGAAAAAAGATTCTGTAGAAAGGGGTCGGCTTATCCACGGGATACACTTTCATGATAGTATTTTTCAGATCGTGATCTGTCAGAAACATCGCCTGAATGACGGTCCGATAGATTACAACTTCCCGAAAGTTTGGAAGTTGCCACGTCTAGAGCTATTATTGTTATAAATTATCAATAAAGTTATTATTATACACCAATGTTGTCATTATTAAAAAAATGTTATGCATGTTACTACTTCCGATAATAAGTTTTCAATTGAATGTTCAAAGTTTATCGTTCTTCGTAAACTCCACAATCTTTACATGTAACAATATATGTAATTCACAGCTATAATATATAATCCCCAGATTAAATCGCCAATAGCTATTACGTACGTTTTGCAAAGTTCATAAATTGATAGTGAACAAGTGTCTACCTTACATTCCGAACAAAAATGGCTCAGTTATGTGCATGGCAGCCATATTACAAATCAGATAAGACACTTTTGAAAAACTTAAGTGGGTTGTAAAAAGCATGTGAAGTTTCAGCTTTATTGGACCAGTGGTTTCTTAGAAGTGGCATTGACAGTGCAAGAAAATGCAGCTTGAGAGAATTTAAGAGCAGGGTCAATGTTCAAAAGTCAATATTTAAAAAACTGAAAAATATAAAACCAGAACGCTTGTGTATAGCCCCACTTCTAGTCAGACACATATATACCAAGTATATGCCTTGTCAAACTTAAGTGATGTGTAATATTTGCCAATATGCATCACAGATACTTTCAATCAAATTGCCTCCACAGTTTCTGAGATGTGAAAAATGAATTTGATGACAAGTAGACAATGCATCTGAGGTATAATGACACAAACAGAGACAAGTCAACATCAAGTCACACAAACTTACGTTTGAATGACTGTAGAATGGATGGAATATCCCCCTGAAGCTTGGCCTTCTTGAACACATCCTCCAAGAAGCTCATGTCACGTGCCGTTATCTTCTTCTGATTCTCTAGGAAGGTCATCAGCTGGTAGAAATGAGTTATCTCTTCTTTGTTGCAGTTGCAAGCTTTTTTCAAGGCCTCAAATTCAATGTCATCAATCTCCATTCCAAGTTTGGTCAAATATAATCTGAAATTTATACAGGTCATATTCTCATGATAATGTCAGCAGTAGATTTCTAAAATGTTATATTTTGTAAGTATTGATACCAACAGCCGAAATATGTGAAATTATACAAAACCATTATTCCCCAAACTTTAACACAATCTTTTCATTAGGAAAATTCAGTTTTCTCCCATATCAATAAAAAAAGTCACTTTGTGCCAATTGAACTGATGTTTAGTAAGCTCTAATGCTGTAATCGTCCTACCAAGTTGTGTACGTTCATATTTGTTATTACAAGTTGATATACTACTCAAAAGAAGTAAAAGAACACCTGATTTTGTCAAATGACTATATTTCATCTGTCATGGCCACACAGAACAACTGATCTTTATTGGGTTACATATAGACTATAGATACCTATATAGACTATAGATACCTATATAGACTACCTATAGTCATATACAAAAAATCGAGTGTTTTCTAACTTCTTTTGAGTTGTATATATATTCTTGTTTGTTTGTTTGTTGTTTAACACCGCACTCAGAAATATTCCAGCAATATGACGGTGGCCTGTAAATAATCGAGTCTGGACCAGACAATCCGTGATTGACATCATGAGGTGAGGTGAAATGGGGTTTAACGTTGCATCCAAGATTATTGCACTTATATAGCGACGTGCATGTACGTGTGTGTGTGTGTTTGTGTGGCTGCTTGTACTAGTCCGGACTGATGCCGATTTATAGTGCTAGCTCACTGAGATACCATGTCGCAGTTTAACAAGAATACCCCACTCAGACACAGTATACTGACTCCGAGCCGACCAGTCCTTGTTTTAACCCCTTAATGCCGAGCGCCAGACAGGGTAACAACAAGTGCCATCTTTTAACGTCTTTTGATATGACGCGGTCGGGGATCGAACCCCGGACCTTCCGCTCTCCGGGCAGACGCTCAACCACAAGACCACTGATTGACATCATGAGCATCGATCCACGCAATTGGGATTCAATGACATGCATCAATAAAGGCAGTGAGCCTGACCAACCGCTCCCGGGTCGCATTTTATGGCAAGCATGGGTTGCTGAAGACCTATTCCTCCCCTAATCTTCATGGGTAATATATATTCTCATTACATGTACTCACCTGAAAGTGTTTATCTGACACCTCCCCGTGCCCAAAGTCATATCACCGAGATTGATGTATTTCAACAAACAAATCTGACCAACACACTTGAGAAGATCAGCCAGATAGCACACATAATCAACACTCAGCCTCCCTTTGGACTCCAACAGTTCAAACAACTCAAATCCACTGGATATTTTATCCGCTTCTTTTCTACTGATGACATCTGAACACAAACTTTTCATGTGAGTCACATCGTCGTCAGTCAAACCCTCAGAAATTGACAGCAAGTTCTGTCGGAATTTGTTTCTGTCCTTGACTGACATTTCTTCCCTGTAATTCTGGTCTGCCTTGTGTTAATTGTTGTCTGTCTTGGAGCTTCACTTTGGTCTATGACCTGAACATTTTGCTTTGAATTCCATGTCCACTAAATCATGGTGTGTATGTAGACAACCTGTAGACAACCTGTAGACAACCTGTAGACAATGAAAGTTGGTGAATAAGTACATCGTATCTGTTACAGCTGCCTGTATTGTTTTTACAAATAAAAGTTAGTGAATGTTGTTAACTGCCACAGCAATATTCCATCTACATCGTGGCAGCTGTACAGTTTCAATTCTGGACAGGCAAACCAATATCTGAAAGCAGAAGGTATGATTCATGTTATCAGTTCACAGAAGCATTCAAATGACCATGAATGACAGCTGGTCACCTGATAACAGTGTAGTTAGTCATCCATAAAGTGCAGAGGACCTGTTCTGAAATCCCACATACTAGGGCTGGGACGGGTAACTCGTGTACTCATAGCGGGTGGGTCCTGAGTGGGACTCGGGATTCACGGGACTACCCGGACCTGTGGTTAGTCACGTGATATATTGTTTAATGACAAAAATTATCTAAAACTCCATGGTTACAACACAAGTCACTAATGTTCCCATTTCTTTCTGACAAAGCACCCATTCCTTCTGAATTTTATATGTTTGAATAAAGATAAAACTCCATGCAGTAAACTTCAGTGTATGCATGACTAGATCGTTTTACACATGTATCCAAATACATTTTGCCAGGGCTACGGTCAAACCTTTCCAAATAGGACAGTTTGTACCTATCTCTAAATATCTACAATGGGTATACGCAGATGGGGTCGGGTAATAGGGTGGAAGGTACCTGGGTGGTAAATTTGGACTTGTCCCAGCCCTACCACATACATAGTAGGGCTAGGACGGGAAACACGGCTCGCATCAGTCCTAAGTAGTACTGGGGCACCCACAGGACTTAGCTGGCCCGTGGTTAACCAGGCAATATATTGTTTGATGACAATAACAATAAAACTCCATGGTTACACCACAAGTTACTAGTGTTTGTATTTCTTTCTGACGATGCGCTCATTTTTTTCTGAATTCAGTGTATGCATGATCAGATCACTTTATATGAGTACCTATAGTGTTTGCCAGGGTTCTGTCCCAATTGGACATTTTGCACACAACTTGACACCTACAGTGAGCACTCGGGGAGAAATGTTCGACTCATCCCAGGGCTACCACATAGTGTTTCCAAGTGTACATGATTCTATGTATCTTTAACATGTTTAATATGCTGAGACTATCAAATTAGGCACGCAGAAAGGATACAGTGATACAGTGACAATATTATCATATATTATCATCAACAACGTGTAGCATGACTCTTACTCTAGGAAGTTTAAACCATAGCTGGGGACAGCTTGATGGTGTGTGGGAAACAAGGAAACCATATTGTTACATGGCCATGTGGAACCTGAAAAGTTTGGTTCAAGTCGTTCACATTTAGATCTAATTGAGATATATTTTACGACATCCATCGAACAAATAGTTCCGAAGAACTTGTCATCACATTTCTGGATGAATGATGTACGAACAAACTTCTCATTTACACAAACTACTATCGCCAACAACTGGTCGAGAAAACAAATGTCTCAATTCCACACGACATCAATTACAATGTTACGTGTACAAAAGTAGAGTTAACATCAAACTTACCAGCTTCTTCTCCGACTGTGGTCTGTCCTAACACTGTAGATGTGTGGTGTTTATAACGAAAGCAGGAAATCCACCTCTTCATTTTCTGAGAAGTCGAGGTCTATTTTTAGCAATGTGGGTTTTTCCCGTCATGCCCGCTCGCTAAGCTGGTCCCCGTCTCTAAACATCACAATATACAAGTTGACGACGCGCATAGGGAGCCGGGAACCAGCTTAATTCTTACCCAGTATTCCACCATTAGCTTCGCGTGGTGATGATAATAACATTGCTTGTTTTTATAAACTATAAACTCGAGTCACATTCATAACATAATTTTTCGAACGTGAAACTTTTGTTGTGGAAAGAAAGTCATATGGAAGTCACGTGACATGGATTTCTGTCAAAATGGCGTCGCCTATGATTCAAAATGTTTTGTTTTGGTTTGTGTTTTGTTTTTCAGCTGTAGTTTCGATGCCGTACAATGGCATGGACCTGTATTCCGATGATTACAAACTACCGGACCTCCCATACCCTTACAACAGTTTAGAACCACTAATTGACGAGGCAACGGTGCGCGTACACCACTCTGGGCATCACGCAGCGTACACGAAGAAAATGAATGCTGCTCTCAGGCAGTGGCGGGTTGACCCAGATGTATGTGTGCAGTGTTTAACAAAAGTACAGCTTACATAGAGAATCTCACCCAAGTGTCTTTTGATATCAAATATATCAACACGAGTTGATAAAAGTGGGAAAACTCCGAGGCTTGCCGAGGATTGTTTTCCACTATTATCAACGAGTGTTGATATATTTGATATCAAAAGACACGAGGGTGAGATTTTATTTATCATCCAACATCATTCTTCCAACTTTTTCAGTTTGTAGAAAGTAATAAGCAGAGTCTTAAGCGTAAAAAGTACTGCATGTCATGGTAACCAATTACGTCACAATGGTCTGCAAAGCATTGTGATGCAATTTCATTGCAGCGATATCTACAGTATAGATATCGCTTGATCTCACAATCAAATGACATCAACAATGGCTCTGCTACTGAAGCTGTAAGCAGTACTTTTTACACTTAAGACTCTGCTTATTACTTTCTACAAACTGAAAAAGTTGGAAGAATGATGTTGGATGATAAATAAAATCTCACCCTCGTGTCTTTTGATATCAAATATATCAACACTCGTTGATAAAAGTGGGAAAAAATCCTCGGCAAGCCTCAGAGTTTTCCCACTTTTATCAACTCGTGTTGATATATTTGATATCAAAAGACACTCGGGTGAGATTCTCTATATCATGGACCCTAAATATAGAGTATTAAGTGTCCATGGTCTATATGTAGCCGGGTCTATATTTATATATGCTACAATTGGTCTACAGTCAAACTATGACCCTACATCACTTAGGGTCATGTCTTGCCCGTAGGACCCCATCGTGTCTATCGGCTAGGCTATATGTTGAATAACGGGATCGGGTGGTCAGGCTCACTGACTTGGTTGATACATGTCATCGATCCCACTTGCGTGGATCGATGCTCATGATATCAATCACTGGGTTGTCTTGTCCAGATTCGATTATTTACAGACCGCTGTCATATAGCTGGAATATTGCTGAGTGCGGCGTTAAACAACAAACCCACCAACCAACTATATGTTGAATAAGTGTATGATGCAGATGAAGGTTTTATATTTTGTTTAACATTACAGAATGTTGTCTGTTTATGTTAAAGTATTGGCAAATGGTAAACTATTCTCTATAACATGCTTAATGATATATATGATGCTGTTTTTTACATGAAATCTGGTGCCATTTTCTCCAGGCAAACTTGGTGCCAATTTCGCAGTTTACATGCTGTGGTACCCTTACCCTCTATATTCACCGATATTTGAGCAGATGTTATGTTTGAAAAAATACTCTTTTTGCAGACAGACCAAACTGGACTTAGTTCTAAGTCAATCCTAGATATTCTGACTAAAATCAGCGAGGTTCCTGACATGTACAGAAATGCCATCAGAAACAATGGAGGAGGGTATTTGAGTTTATCAGCTTTCAGATCATTTGCTTACTTCATCAAAATTATGTTATGTGGAATTATTTCTATTTTTCAATGTAGTTCATCAGATTTGTTCAGTTGTAAGAGTAATAAATGTTCATTCAGAGGAAAAGTTTTTTGTTTTTTTGTGATCTTACACAGTTTAGTCCACTAGTCCTTATCATGATAACACATAACAAAACCCTTAAAATGGCAAATTTCTACTCGTCCTAAGGATACCTTAACTATTGAGAAGTTTGGCAGGGACTACAGGACTAGTGCCAATTTCTAACGCTGTTACAGTACTAAAGAGATACATACATTAAATACATTTTATATTTCAGGTTTGTGAACCATAACCTGTATTGGTCTGTAATGGCGCCAAACCCTGATGGCAAGGAACGCCTACCAGAGTCGGATCTTCACAACGATATACAAGCTGATTTCGGCAACTACACTGCTTTCAAACAACACTTCACAAGAGAAGCAGCAAAACTGTTTGGCTCAGGTGATCCTCTTATACTACCTGTCAACTGTTCTGTAACCTGTCAACTGTTCCTCTGTTACCTGCCAACTGTTCCTCTGTTACCTGTCAACTATTCCTCTGTTACCTGTCAACTGTTCCTCTGTTCCCTGTCAACTGTTCCTCTGTTCCCTGTCAACTGTTCCTCTGTTACCTGTCAACTGTTCTTCTGTCAACTGTTCTTCTGTTACCTGTCAACTGTTCCTGTTACCTGTCAACTGTTCTTCTGTTACCTGTCACCTGTTCCTCTGTTACCTGTCAACTGTTCTTCTGTTACATGTCAACTGTTCTTCTGTTACATGTCAACTGTTCTTCTGTTACCTGTCAACTGTTCCTCTGTTACCTGTCAACTGTTCTTCTGTCACCTGTCAACTGTTCCTGTTACCTGTCAACTGTTCTTCTGTTACCTGTCACCTGTTCCTCTGTTACCTGTCAACTGTTCTTCTGTTACCTGTCAACTGTTCCTGTTACCTGTCAACTGTTCTTCTGTTCCCTGTCAACTGTTCCTCTGTTCCCTGTCAACTGTTCGTCTGTTACCTGTCAACTGTTCTTCTGTCACCTATCAACTGTTCTTCTGTTACCTGTCAACTGTTCTTCTGTTACCTGTCAACTGTTCCTGTTACCTGTCAACTGTTCTTCTGTTACCTGTCACCTGTTCCTGTTACCTGTCAACTGTTCTTCTGTTACCTGTCAACTGTTCCTCTGTCACCTGTCAACTGTTCGTCTGTTACCTGTCAACTGTTCTTCTGTCACCTATCAACTGTTCTTCTGTTACCTGTCAACTGTTCTTCTGTTACCTGTCAACTGTTCCTGTTACCTGTCAACTGTTCTTCTGTTACCTGTCACCTGTTCCTGTTACCTGTCAACTGTTCTTCTGTTACCTGTCAACTGTTCCTCTGTCACCTGTCAACTGTTCTTCTGTTACCTGTCAACTGTTCTTCTGTTACCTGTCAACTGTTCCTGTTACCTGTCAACTGTTCTTCTGTTACCTGTTAACTGTTCTTCTGTTACCTGTCAACTGTTCTTCTGTTACCTGTCAACTGTTCCTCTGTTACCTGTCAACTGTTTATAAGCCAGGGCTCGATAACTTGCACCAGGAGCTTGTTGACATGAAAACCAAGTTGCACCCTGCTCCCATAAATATATCAAAATTGAAACATAGATGCATAAACTAGTCTTTAAATCTCAGATCTCTGACGACTGTTTTATGATTTTACATAAATAAGGCATCTATTGCTGTAATATGGAACATGCACAAAGTCCCACAGTTTCATGACATGAAGTCCAAGAAAGGATGACAATTTACACAAAACACAGGGACTAGTGCTGTAGTATGGTACATAAAGCGTGGAGGTATTGAGTGTGTTCAAAGATTTTTGTTGTGTGGAAAAGTAAGTGTAGTCAGATAAAAGTGTTAATATTTTTTACATGCAATTGGTGCAGGTAGACATAAATATTAGGTTGCATTTTCAATAATATGCTGCACTGGTGCATGTGTTACATAGTTAAATCGAGCCCTGATAAGCATGATAAGCAGAACAAGAAAATTATTGTAATCAAAATTATTTTTTTTGTACTTTGTTTTTTAATCATGTTAATTATTTAAACAAATTATGTCAGTGGAAAAAAATGAAATATGAAAAGCACTGTTTGGTTTATTCTGCTGTAAATGCTCAATGCAAACATGTCCTCAACAAAATACAATTAGCAGACAGAAGTTATATACCCGGTACATATTGCAAGTGCATGGCAATTGACTAACCATTTAAGTTGCATTATTCCCATTTTTTTCTCAGGTTATGTGTGGTTGTCACGTCAGCCAAGAGATGGAAGTTTACTGGTGTCTACTACAGCCAATCAGGACTCTCCATTATCCCAGGGACTCCTCCCAATCCTGGTTCTGGATGTGTGGGAGCATGCTTATTACTTGAAACATCAGAACAGACGCACTGACCACGTGTCAGACTGGTGGACACTAGTTGACTGGGAAGTAGTAGCAGAAATAGATGCTTGGTGGCAGAAATCTGTCCATGATGAACTCTGATAGAGGACATTTAAACCTGATTCAAACTTGCTGAGTCATTGTGTGAACTAACTCTACTTAGTCAGTACTAATGACATTGCTTCATCTAGCTTATAATACATGTTTTATTCAAGGTTTTTGCAGTAATCTGAGTAAACGTAAGTGCAGTGGTGAGTTTAAACTTGATACCTGAAATTCACGTGTTTATTCAGTAATTAACTGTAGCTGATTCTTGTTCAGGTGTGCTTGGGGTTTCCTATGTATGTATATATTGGATCATGATCTCTTTTCCTTCTGCATCACAACAGAGTGTGTTGGAATCGGAATGTGCACAGCTGCCCACCCATACATCCATTTGATCAAAACCCATTACATGGATAAAATGAAATTTGTTTGATGTTGCTCTTAAATCTTTTAGAAGAGTTTTCCTGAATTATTGACTATCCAGTTTATGTCTATTATTTGATAAAATCCTGTTTCGAAATTAGGGATAGAACTTTGTTGGTTTTACATGATTGACAATCTAGATTGTACAGGTGTAACGTTCGGGGAGGGATATAAGAATAACGTCTTTCAGTACAGATGTTGCAAATAAATGTACAAATTGTGAAAACCATATTATATTCCCAGAGAGAAGAAACATTTGATTGCTCAATAAAACATAAACAATCCAAGGCTTCAACTGTTAATTGTTCCACAAACTAAAGCGAGTTTACCAATGGAGTGAGTGGGTGATTGGATGTAACGCCGCCTTAAACAGTATACCTGTTATATCACAGCATCACCATGTCAGCTTAGTGTGAGGAAAGCCTGAAGTATTGCAGGTCTTTGATGTTTACCACTTTTGGTGAAACCCACAAGCATGGGTATGGTGCTGACAAACCAAGAAACATAATTGGGGCGAACTGGGATTCGAACCCGAAATCATAGGTTTCTGGAGTGCCCAAGGGACGCAATGTGCACAGCATATTGCCGCAACTCAGACTGGGCAACCTGTGCTCCAAGTTTACCAATGTTTTAACCTCATTGTGTGACATGAATTATGTTCATTTGAAGGTTTCTGCTCATTGGAAATCGAAGGATATATTCGTAATTATGCACATTTTATACATTTGCTAAAAAATAAGTAGACTAAGGAGGAGAAAGGAATTAGACCTTGAGAAATAAAAATGTTTCCTGCTTAATACACTGCGCAATATTCAAGTTTAAATACCTATAATTTAATTTTCAAACACGTGGTAAAAATAAAATTTCAAAACAATCAGCGACGTTACAATTTCTTTTGGTCATGGTCAAAGGGAGACAATCCAATGGATTTTTTAATTCCATTTGGAAAAGTTTATGGTCAAAGGGAAGTAATTCAGCTTGGTAATTAGACTGGGCTCTCGTCTGGCTAAAAGCGCCAAACTTTCAGCGCGTGCCAACAAGTAGAACCAGTTAACATGGTAATATCAAACGGAGTTATGTCCCTTGTACAAGCTCCCTTCAAGTTCTACATGTCAACTTCAAACACTACTTTATACTTTGTCAAAGGGAAGTAACCTTGTTAATGTTCCTGACATATCTAATGTATCTCTGGAATTGATTGTTTATGAGTCAAAGAAGTTTAAAGAATTGAGATTCTCTCATGTCAAACATACCACATCTCTCAACCACACCTTCCTTACATTTAAGATGTCAACACACACATTTAGATCACTTTGAATGTGCCTGGTGTGTAGCAGTTCCCGGAGCTATTTATGAGAGTCGATATGGATTTATCAGTATGAAAGAATAAAGAAGGCCAGGTCATTAATATGTACTAACGGAAAAAAGTAACTATGCTACATATCAAGTTCAATAAAAAAATTAAAAAATGTACAGAAATCTATACAATGCTTTCAGTTTTTAATGTGCACAGCACATAGTGATTGTTTAGCTATCAGGTGCTCATAAAAAAATAAAAAAACCAAAACAAAACTCTTACCTAATGCCACTCCCGAGGCCTGCTGAAGATCATCCTCTACGCACACCATGGGGATGCTGAAAATAGGAATGGCGCAAGACATTTTGATGTTCATCGAAACACAATATTATCTTTTGGAAAGGTTATCTATAGCAGGGCTACACTCATGACTTGTCACGAGCCGGTCGTCAACATCAGACGTCACGTCAACAAAACAACCATATTCGGTTGGTGTATCTACAGAATCGACGCATCCTCGGACAATTCTGGGTTAAGACCAATTAGTTGCAGAACCGCACGCAACCGGTTGAGGGAGCACAACATCCGGTTCCAACGTCCAGCGGTATGCTCCAGTGTTCTGCCACGTCACCATCAGGCACGCCTAGCTTTGTTGTACACAGCATCTGAGGAAGACAACACTGGATACAATACACTGGATAATCGAGGATGATGCATTATATGACCCTACACATTTTATATAGATATACACATCTTCCTAAAACTAGTAGTTCAGGTCCTTTAGATGATTTTACTTACGAAATCTGAATCATCTTTTGCTATAGTTATTAGTGTCATTAAAACTGAGTCAAATTGTACGTTTACATGTAGAGTTCAGCTGGCTCGGAGAAGTCAAAAGTTATCAGACAAAATTCGACCGACAGTAAATGCTATAAGCCCCGATTATGTTTCTAGGTTTGTCAGAACCATACCCGTGCTCGTGGGTTTCACCGAACTGGTAAACGTCTGCGACCTGCATCACTTCGGGCTTTCCTCCCACATTAAGCTGACACGCCGCGATATAACTGGAATACTGTTAAAAGCGGCGTTAAACCCAACTCACTCACCCACTCACTTAATGTTGGAAAAACGGCAGAAGTGATGTAGGTATTAAACGCTCACACTACGGTGAAGCCAACGAGCACGGAGATGCTGCTGACAAACCTGGAAACATAACCTAGGGCGAATCCAGCATTCGAACCCACGATCCCATGTTTCTGGCACGACTGAAGGACGCAAATCAGCACAACGAAAACCTGATTCTCAGACAAGCTGGGCCAACGGTGCATCCCCTTGACAGACTTGCGTGAGTGAGTGAGCTGACGTTTAACGTCACATCGGCACTATTTCAGCCATATCGCGCCGAGCTGAAAGACTTACGCACGTCTTAGCGTTAACATTGCTTCGCGGAACAGGGCCCCGGCCCTTTGTCCTGACGGGACACTATACAGTCTATATGTTTACACCGTTTAAAGTCTCCCTAGTCCCGGTGAGCTATAAATGGAATCGGAAACTTTTAATTTGGAAAAGAATGTAAATATTCTGCGTAATTGCACTGTTGCTCATTTGGAAGATACGATGTTGAATCCAAGAAAGGGCTCCACACATTGTATACTCAGTGGGATATGGACTTAGCTGGCGACATGATCAAACTGCTTATATTCCAGTGCATGACACTTGGTCTTGGTGTAGCCGTTTAGTGCATGTCGTTTTAGAGCGGGGTTGAGGTCTTTATTGCGATGCGATGAGTGTGATGAAGGATCTAGATATCATACACCCTGAAACACATAATTACACAATAAAAAATAAGTAAAACATTATCATTAATGCCAGATACATAGCACAGGCTTATTACAAGTAAGTATTTACATATATCAGTCATCCATTAAACACAAGATAGACTGAACCTTAAACGATTATACAAGAACATATACAGTAATATACATGATCCACAAAACCGACATTCAAGGGAGATAACTCCTTGACTTTCATTTGACTATAATATATACACAATGTAAATACATAACGCTTACACATTCTGTATAAACATATACAATACTTTAAAACGGAAATTAATGATATTATGTTTTCATCACATTTGGATTACATCTTAAGTCTTAGACAAATATAAATAATACAGTGCATACCCTGTGGGTGATACAAGGGTGTGGATCCCAACTGCCACACTTATGGCAACACCATAGATGATCTGAATAAACAATACATAGACTAAAACACTATAATAATTTAACATTTAATATATTGAACAAAGTAGTACACACATTTTATTTACAATGATTTGCATGTGTCACATCTGAATCTGTACATTACAAAGCTTTTTAAAACACTCTTGAAGTAAAACACTTTCACACATATTTCATTGTAGTGATAGAATACATTTTAGTGATAAGGTATGGGTGTTTAGCTTATCTTATGCAGATTTAAATATTTAGACATAATCAACATTTATGTTAGATTACATGCATTTAGTTTACTTCATATAACACTTTAAACATACTGTATTATTTCAATACAACACAGAATAGAGATTATAACCATTTAACTCACCTGATTTAATATTATCTCTTTATCCTTTGCTGGTCTGAGCAGTTCTGTCAGTTCATGTGCTGAGAGAGTATGCAGTGTAATCAAAGCATGCAGTTTAACAATAGGTGTTAGCTTGGCCAATCAGCAAATGAAGCTTCTGGCCATGGGGCAGTTAGTAGGTAAGACAGGTCAGATACACTTTGTTATAGCTGGCTGAGGGGCGGTCGGGTAGGCTAGTGGTTAAAGCGTTCGCTCGTCACGCCGAAGACCCGGGTTCGATTTCCGACATGGGTACAATGTGTGAAGCCCATTTCTAGTGTCCCCCGGCGTGATATTGCATGAATATTGCTAAAAGCGGCGTAAAACTATACTCACTCACTATAGCTGACTGAAACTGACAACTAGTTATATATAATAAATATACGTAAAATCCAGCGCCTCCAACCTCTGGTGTTTAGATTTCACATCTTTTGCGTACAGAGACCATATAATATGGCCTCTGGTACAATCCAGCATGCTCGTTCTTCGAAGATATCAAAACCGTCATACGACTCTTACTCAAAAGGTCTTCTGATCAGCGTTACAACATTCAAGGCCTTAGTAAAGCTTCCAAGAAGTGTTATGGTAAACATGTGAAAGACGTTTTCAATTTTTACTCATCTGTGACAAAAATGATGTCTGCTGCAATTTCCTATTTTGACTTGTACCATATGTTCCCTTGTTTTTTTCAGGTGAACAATTGACTTGCCTTTGCATGTGTTTGTGACGGTGCCACCGGTGGGGCAAAAAAGATTCCTCATTATTTGATAGTGATTTATAAACACATGCTCATGAAAAAAGTCGGAATCGTAGTATGGACTGATATCAGCAGATATTTCTTATTAATATGAAAAGGGTTTTGTCGCTTTTATCTAATGTCGTCTTTTGCACAAATTTATTTAATTTGGGTGACTCATCCCAAGTCCATTTTTTTGTGTACACTAACTATTTTGGTCCCAATGTTTACACAACGAAACACGATGTGAGCTGGAACTGGTTATCTGTGTCGTGACCTCTTACAACCAGGTGATCATTTCACACCTCCACGAATCAAGAGAGCTGCGTTAACAGAGTCTAAGGTAAGGAGGGTTTCTCAAAGTACAATATTACTGGCCATTGTGAAGTTATAGAATTCAATTATTCAATAATTAGCCCCCCCCCCCCCCCTCTCTCTCTCTCTCTCTCCCCCCACCCTCTCTCTCTCTCTTTCTCATTTTTGACTATGGTGTCGTTAAGTCGCTGTTAGTGCAACATATAAATGCTAAATTTACATTTTGCAAAGACATTATTTCTTAAATAAATTCATACAATAGACATATACACATGCACAAAAGTTAAGCGCCACCCACCATATTTGTGAGCTGTTACTTTTGGCACTTAATGATGACTATTATAACGAGATGTACGATTGTTATAAGCCGTATATGTAAAACTCATGTGATGCAAAAGTTGTCCCAAAGCAAGTTCATCTTGTGTTCCAAAAGAATATGAGCAGAAAGGAATTTTACCGAAGACCAGAAATTGAAGGATTAGAAAACATTGAAAAACCTTTTTTTGTCATGTAACTGTCATGATATCAGCAGACCATATCAGGTGTCACATAGACACCCTAGGGAGTGCAGAGTCTATTGCAAGACAGAAACGTCAGTAACGTGTGTATGATCCACGGACATTGACCACAGCTTCAACCCCACGCCTCATACTCATTACAAGTCGTTGAATGCTTCTCTGAGGCAAACGGATCCATTCTTCATGAAGTGCGGCTTCAAGTCCAGCGAGATTTTGAACTGGGGGATCACGATGTCTGATTTTCCGGCCAAAAATGTCCCAGGGATGCTCAATCGGATTAAGATCCGGACTACAGGCCGGCCAAGGAAGAGTGGCAATAGCTTCTTGACGCAAATAAGCCAAAACTTTCCGAGATCTGTGTCTAGCATTGTCGTCCATGTAAACAGGTCTTGTCTGAAGAGGATGGTTGTCAAAATGAGGAACGGCATCTTGGTATTGTTGGCCATTCAGGTTTCCACGAATTGCCGCCAGCGGAAGTTGGCAGCCAAAGGAAACACAACCCCATATCATGACAGACCCCCCGCCACATGCTAAGGTCTTCTGGATGTTCCTTGGTGCAAAACGAGTGTTACGTTGCCTCCAAACACGTATTCGACCATCAACAGTTCGTAGCAGCATTCGACCAATGGATCCTTCTCCAGGTGGCTAAGTTCCATCGACTACGGGCACGACACCATATCAGACGATTCCGCATGTGCCTCTCAATCAGTTGAGGACGTTTTACTGGTCTTCTGGCGTTATAACCAGCCGCTCTGAGGCGACGCCTTACGGTCATCGTCGAGAGTCTCTGATGCGTAATCCACTGTAGTCTTAAATCTGTTGAAGTGGCAAATAGATTTCGTCTGACTATCCTGAAAAGACGTCTATCCTTTCTGTTAGAGGTCTTTCTTGGCCTACCAGACCTATGCCTGTCATTGACATCATTGGTTTGACCATGTTTGACAATCGAACGAGTGATAACACTGTGATGACGACCCATTTGTCTTGCAATGGCTCTGCATGACATGCCAGCATTTTTCATGCCTATCACTTGCAATCTTTCAGCGTTCGTTAACTTTCTCTTCACCATGGCTGATTTTCAACCTCTATTAGAAGGGGAATCTCACACAGGAGCAAAATGCAACCACGTGGCTGAAACTTGGATTTCACTATTTATAGGGTAGGGGAAGTGCAGCAACACGTGAAGCACGCTTTCCTTGTGGTATCTGGACAAATTTGGGTTCATGGAACTATGGAAGCCTAATTCAGTCATACATCATCATATTTCGTATTTCTGATTCCCACACGTGACATCAAGAGACTATGAATATGTTGGCGCTTAACTTTTGTGCATGTGTATATATATTGCTTTCTTTGCCAAACGGACACGGCATTGCTTAAGGGGTATTTCAGCAGGTGTTATATAAGGTAAACTTCTTGCAATATGTTTCAGCAATAACCGCAATTCACATATGTATCGCGAAAAAGAGACATACATAAATAGATTATGCTTACATCACATTTCACACACATAACTGAAGACGGAAAACAAGACATTGTTCACACCGCACTGGCAAATGGAACTGAAAGAAATCTTTCAAATATACTTGCATTTTGTTTTAAAGCGTTTAAAATTCAAGTAACATTTGTTACATGAGTAATGGCTGATCGGGCAAAGCACAACAAATCGTCTACCATTCAGGTACTTGCTCTTCGTCGTGCGTCCGTCAACACAGAAACTTAAAATCCCTTTTCCATCTACTGAACATGCTTATCAGTGTCATGTTCACACATTATTGTACAAATCATTGAGTACAACGACGTCAACTTTTCTTTTGGTCGCAGTAGCAGTTCATTTTGGCGAGGAAACAAGCCTTCGCTCCACTCTCTTCTCCGACACTGAGGGACATATTGTTTTCCAGTTTTCAGATTTTTTTATACCATCATTCTTATTGTAAGGGTTTAATTTAGAAAATTAAAAAAATGGTATCAAGGCAATTCTTTGAATTGGGGTATTGGTACTCTGTTGATTATCCAATTGTGTCTACCACATATTAACTGTACTTTTCAGAGTAAGCCACTCTTAAGCAACACTTTGTATATAAAATGAATTTTCTAGCATATGGCTGGTTGAAATTGAAAGTTAATACAATTAAAATTAGCATGCGAACTGCTTATAATCTCAATAAGTTGAGACTTAATTATATAGGATATTTCCCAAACTACGACCACCCGACCACCCAGATATCAACATTGGATATAAGATCGATCCACCGACCTACCGCTCTCCTGTCAGACGCGCTATCCACTAGACAAATGATGCGGTCATTTTTCATGACTAATCTGTCCTGTGTATTGCAGGTTTCACCTCCTTAACAACCCTTGTATCCCTTCCTGTACCACTCCCCGGGGAGATATCAGTGTATTCCTCCCTCATCCCCTCACTATGTGGGGCGGTCGGGTAGCCTAGTGGTTAAAGCGTTCGCTCGACACGCCGTAGACCCAGGTTCGATTCCCGACATGGGTACAATGTGTGAAGCCCATTTGTGGTGTCCTCAGCCGTGACATTGCTAGAATATTGCTAAAATGCGGCGTAAAGCCATACTCACTCACTTCACTATGTATATTGAAGAGGCTGGAAAACAAAGTTGCCTCTTGATATGGGTGTTAAACTAGTATGTCGCTAGTGTTAGGTGAGTGTGAGTGTGAGTGAGTGAGTTGGGTTTAACGCCGCTTTTAACAGTATTACAGTTATATCGCGGCCTGTCAGCTTAATGTGGGAGGAAAGCCCGAAGTGATGCAGGTCTCAGACGTTTACGACTTCGGTGAAACCCACGAGCACGGGTATGGTGCTGACAAACCTAGAAACATAATCGGGGCGAACCGGGATTCGAACCCACAATCATAGGTTTCTGGCGTGCCAAAGGGACGCAACTCTGCACAGCGAATCGCGGCGCCTTAGACGACTAGTTAAACTAGTATGTCGCTAGTGTTAGGTCTTCATTGGTTGAGTGTGAGACAGTCGTGTACACCACAATCAACAATAGGTGAGGTGAGGTGAAATTGGGTTTTAACGTCGCGTCCAAGATTATTGCACTGTGCACTGTGTGGCTGCTTGTACTAGTCCGGACTGATGCCGATTTATAGTGCTAGCCCACTGAGATACCATGCCGCAGTTTAACATGAATACCCCACTCAGACACAGTATACTGACTCCGAGCCGACTAGTTCCCTAAATGTCGAGCGCCAGACAGGGTAACAACAAGTATCATCTTTTGACGTCTTTTGGTATGACGCGGCCGGGGTCAACAATAGACACGTAAATCAACTCATTACTACAAGCAGTGAAGATTCTGGGAAAGGATTGTTTTCAATCTGACTATGGGATAGGCTCCTTTGCAGACAGACGATTTATTTCAGTAACGGGCCATCGGCCCACAATACATTAATATACACTCTCCAAAAAATGAAACATACAGGTCGATTTTTAGTAAATTTATTGTACCAGTCGATTTATTTGATTTAACATCACAGATACAAATATGAAATTTTGAAGCTCGATAGTCACATGTTGTCGTACAAAGGCATTGAAAACTGTTCATTGTCATGTCACATAAGGCCACAAGGTTGCGCTTAAAGCAGTATCTCGTGTGACCGCCCCGGGCAGCAATCACGACTCTGCATCTCCTCGGCACTGACTGGATAAGTGTGCGAATTCTGTCCTGCGGAATTCTGCGCCATTCTGCTTGTAACGCGTTGTCCAGTTGTAGGAGTGTCTGCGGCGTGATCTGGCGTTGACGTACACGATCGAGTTCATCCCAGAGGTTTTCGATTGGGTTGAGATCTGGAGGTCTCGACGGCCTTGGCAAGACGTTGATGTTGGCATTATGAAGGTAGTCTACCGTGACACGAACTGCGTGCGGTGGGTTTTTGTCCTGTTGAAACAGCTCCCTCTGGCGGTCAATGATTGGAAGAAGGTGGCGTTGAAGAATTTGATTCATGTAGCGAATTGCCGTCAAACGTCCCTGAACCACAGCCAAGTCAGATCTCGTGGTGTAGGATATTGCCCTCCACATCATGACATTACCGCCACCGAAATTGTCGAATTCACGTACACAACGTGGGGCAAAACGCTCATGTCGACGACGAAAAAACACGTTGTCTTCCATCTTGCTGGTGAAGAAGCACATTCGTCTCCAGTTTCTCAAATTCCAAGGTTGTAAGGTATGTCACCAACGCAAGCATCGCTGTCGATGGATCTGTTGCAAAACAGGGACGGTAATTGGTCTTCTGGGAAGATGGTTCCAGACAGTCTGGTCCGATATCCTCCTCTAACCAGGGATGCGTCCAGCAGTCTCCGTAGCTGTGGCATTTCGATGGCGTAGGTGGAACAGTCGAATTTAGCGATCCCGTGCAGGGTTGGTAACTCTTGGTCGGCCGGTTCTCGGACAGTGGAATTGAACTGTGTGTATCGGTCTCAAAGCCTGCAAATGGTGTTTTGGTGGACGTTGAAGTGGCGAGCAACAGATGT